TGATTAAAAATGCCAGCTATGTAGCCCGCGGTTATAAATATAATACAGTTTAAAACGATCAACATTCTAAGTAAAGATTGCAATGTCACTGTTATGTAGGTATGTATTAAAGAAGATTAACTGTACGTTGGATTCAGGATTTAAACATTAAATATGACAAGAATTGGCTTCGGGCTGCTGCATGCTGGGAGTCGCCTTTATGATAGAGAGACAACGTGGAACTGGAAGTAATGGAGAGTTTTCTTCAAAGGGTTTGCACTTCCAAACGGTCAAGAAAGTGATACTGCAGCTAACAAATACCAATTTTACTACCACAGGCTGCTCAGTATCTTAACACATGGCAAACATATTAGTTTTTAGTGACGTGAAATCAAATCACAGACAATAAAACACCCGCTAGCAGCGCAGGGGTATTGTCTCGGTTATCAACACCGGACAACATACAATAAAACACTCACTACATAAAAACAACGTAAAACGAAGTAATTATCGTCAGAAATCTCTTAATTGAGCAGGAGAGTAATTTCACGAATTTCTCAACAAAGGCTGAAAATTCCATCAAGCACTCTGCAGATTCGCAACCGCCTACAAGCCCTAACGAAAGGAATAATCACCATTTTTTTCGTAAGCAATCCTGAATAATTCGACAACGTCAAACTATGCCTCCTCGGAGAATCTAGCATCTAGAAAAAAGGGCAGTTTGCAATACTCACAGTCACAACTACAAGTAAAGACCGGAGGTTGACTAGCGGCGCGCGTTACATACAGTAACACGGTGCGCGTTACAGTTACACCGGATAAGTGGGACAGGTCAGGTGAGAGACTGTCAGTCGAGATCAGCGAGTCTGCAGGATTAGATTGAGGTATTTTACAGGTCAACTTGGACCGAAACACGTAATGTTAACCCAGTTCAACGCTGCTTTTTTGCAGAATGTGAAGTTTTGCCAGGAGGTGAAGGAAGCCGGAGAGTGAATGTGACGACCGAGTGCAGCGCGAGTTCGTATTACTATTCTGTTACTGTACACTCGCTCTGTAGTCACTGGTTTTAACAACAGTCCTGAACCATCGAACAAGTTATATTATCTAGTGGCATTGCACTGATTACTGAAGGGTATCAGTTTCATTGTTCTTTTTACTGGTAGATTCTGAAGTCTTTATCATTACGAACCTGGTGGCCGTAACAGCGAGAGGAGAAATTCCTTCAGCTGTGAACAATAGGATTCTATGGTGGCCGGTGATTTTCAAATATTAACCGTTACCTAATAACTTAAACAGTTAGATCGTCTTGAGACATGAAAGTTTCTGAAAGGATCTAAAACGGCACAGAAGACAACATAAGTATCTCTAAACAAACAATAGTAGTGCTTCTCTGAAGTAGAACTAGAATAGTATCTAATTCTAAAGTGCATGGGTATTGGGTAGTACCTAAAGTTCGTGGATAGAAAAAACTTTAACCTGGCCTGGTGTCCTTGCTGCCTGCACAAGAGCAATTCTAACTGCACATCTAAATTTTTGTGAACAAACTGATATGAATCCTATTTGCACAAAATTGTATGTTATCTGCACACCAAACCTTTCTCGAGGCATACTAAAGTGACTGTCATAATATACTGAATAAAATAAACCAGCTCAATGAAAAATTATCTTGCTAAAAGTTTCATTCAGGCTGGTCAGTGTTATAGTAATGAGGACGAAAGAGACAGTGGTTAGTTAAAAAAGAAAGAGACACGTTGAAGCTTGTAGACGTAGTTCAATAAACATGTACACAGTAGAGATATAGATATATAGAGACGTGGCCGTGGTGATGACTGTGATCAGTAGCAGCTCCTGATTTGCCTGAATGGAATGTACTCAAAGGGAGGCTATATTGAACAAATTATCTCCTCCCACACTCGCCAGCTCATACAAATTAATCTTCATAACTACAGTGTAATTATTTTAGATTGTCGGTATTGTTTGGTGAGCATTGGGTGAACTATCCTTGAATGGACATGCTACAGAATGGTAAGGTTAGGTTGGAAACAGCGCGCTGTTTGCAATTTGGGAGACTAATGACTCAATACCTGCTGCAGCATATTTCAATTTGTCTTTAATTCCTGTTTAATTCACCTGTTCAATACGTGCCAACTACTTGGCAACTCATCAGACTGTAATTAATTTCCCCAGACTAAAGAAAGCGCAGACTAAAAGAAGTGGTTATAAATGGCACGTTCTCATGTTCTTTTAATGAAATTGGCACAAACTACAAGCAACTACGAGGAGAGACACAGAGAGAGAGCTGACGACACTAGTTACAGAAAATATAACCACAAGTAATCCTTTGTCAAGTGAGAAACACTCTTGCGAGGTTGACTACTTTATTGTTTACTGGGCTAATTACTAATTTATCACTTAGATAGGGACTACTTCAATGGTAGAGGGTTGTCTTGATAATTATACAGGGTAAGCAAGTCCACAGCCCTCTGTAAGGGGGTACGGGAAGCTTTTTAAATTGTGCGAGAGGGCGTGCCCCTGATCAACTGAATTTGAATTGCAAGACGGGCTAAAGATTATATGTTTGGAATTTAAGGACCATCACATTCCGCAACTCAAACACGTTTAGTTGGCACTGTGCCAATGGCACATCTCCAATCTCCTGATTAACAAGGCAGAAAATAGTGGGGCAAAGAAATCGGTCAGTTTTATACTCGTAATTTTAATTAAACTTTAATTTGAACATTGTTTAAGCCAAATTAGTTAAATTGCACCATTTGTTGTTGCTTTTTATTATTTTTTAGTACTGTCCTTATTAATTCAATAAGGACACGTACAATAAGGTTAGAGGATAGGGTAAATCGAGAGATGGCGACATCGTCAATAAGCTGGTAATTTAAACTAAATAATTAAACCTGCATTTCGTCAATTTCAAAGTGAATGTAATCAGAATTTAACATTAATATTGGGGCACCCCAAAACAAAGTTTAAATATTAATACGATACCCCAGATATAATGACTTCCATGACCAAGATTACCTTGATTGGGTCACGGTTGAACGGTAAAATAGGTCTGTGATTATAAAACGATCACAATATAGAAAATCTAATAAATTACTAAACATTTTCGAAATTAAAAGAGTTACAAAACTTCAGTTCGACTCAGATCACTGCACTTTGGCAAGATACCCTCAGTTTTTTGTAAGAATTGTATCTCTTCAGCCGGATACCAGTTTTCAATATTACCAGTTTAAAAAACCAATTTTTCGACAGTTTTGTTTTTGCAAAAGCTTTTCTTGAGACCAATTTATAAAGGAAAATGAAACTCTGCCCTGCAACTTATATGTGCGGTGTCAACTCCAAAATACGGGAAGTTTAAATTATGATATTTATGACACCATCTCAAATTTTCAAATTTTGTGGTTCGAAGTTTCAGCATAAATGAGGGTAGGACGTAGTCAAAATTTGATATGACTCATTTGGTAGATTTAAACAGATGCTCGTCAATAAAAGCTAGTAAGTTGCAGCACTCATGCAGGGAATTTCCGGAGAATAGATTACGATTTCCGGAATACACTTGCACTATGAAATAGCAAATATTTTAAAAACTCAAGGTTTTTCGATTTAAAAAAGGCTTTTTTTCTCCAGGTTCAATAATGCAGACTTACTTATGTCACGCACAAATGCAGACACTTCGATACTAAGAAACATCGCGACTACATAAATCATATTATAGGACGCGTCCGGAGTCCGGACGTGGTCATTTTGATTAAGCAGCATTGTTAAAGGAGTCATAGTAATAGTAATAGTCATCAGTCACGCAGGATGGTTCTTTTATCTTTCCTATTGATACAATGAATGTCAAATGTTGGAGTAGTTCGCTGTTTATTATTATTTATGATACAATGAAGTTTGTCTAGACTACTAGTAAAGTGTACTTTGCACAAAATCTCTGGAAGGCGTAGACGACATCTTACTACCTTAAGAACAACAAATTTAGTCTACCATAAATTTAGTCAAACTTTTTACTAAAATTGTTGTAAACCAAATTTCATGAGACTAAATTTTTCGGCGACTAATTTTAAAGCAGACCAAAATTTCAGTAGATCAAATATGACATGAATATTATTAAGCTAACATTGTTTATAATTAATATATGACATCACCGTTCCTACTGCACAAAACCGTACCAAAGTCCTATTGCATTTAAACTCAAAGGGTTAGAACTCCTCTTGGACAAATTTTTAATCGATCCATCCCAATGCTTGCTCTGTTGAAACGGCTGAAGGATCATAATAATCATATTGACATGAACTACGTCGTTCCGACAAAAATGGTAAAGTCGAAAAAGGATGAAAAAGAAACTGAACAGTTTACTGAAGAACTTAGTGATACAGAGTCACAAACTCTGGATCTGATGTTATTGAAATTCCTGAGTAATGCATTGCAGCTTAATTTGTAATTTTCGGCGGGGTAGACTAAATTTGTAAGGTAAATGAAATGGTAAATGGTCTCGAAAAGTCGAAAAATGTGACTAAAATTGTTGTAGACTAAAAATTTGCGAAATTTATGACTAAAATTATGGTAACCAAAATTATGGTAACCAATTTTTATTGTGAACCAAATTTATTGGCCCTAAGGTATATATAAACCTGTACATATGTACATATATGCTTATTTATACATCCCTACCATTTTACTGACACCACGGCATCAACTTTAACACGACGTTCCGCAAAAACCGTAAAAGATATAGAACTTAAACTTTTTTGACTGGTTCAAATGCTTTAATGGCCTTCAAATGAGCAGGTTAAAATAAAAAATTGGCCAAGGAATAAGAATTTTAGTGCCCAAAAACGCAAATTAAATAGGTAATAATTATTTTAGTCTCTTGAGTCTTGACACCACTTAAGGGTTAAGTTAGACGGGTTCCTGCTAGTTTTAATAATGCTCATAGAATATTTAGCTGGTATCGTTTTTGTCATGAAGTTATAAGTATCAGGTAGGTTAAAAATAAAATTTTCAGAAAGTTGTACACTCAAATCGTGACTAAAATATAAAAATTTCAAGAGTTTCTTACAATAAAACTGAGTGCACCAATCGATAAATTACCCTAAATTTGATCTAGAAAACAAAAGAACACACAGAACAGTATTACAGTGATATGCTGCCCGAGCGGAATTCACTTTTACCTAGAGTAACGTTAATCACTACACTTCTTCCTTTGCTGTTCTCCAACTGAAAAGAAGATCTTTACTCTTTAGTGCTCGTTTAAAAACACCAATTTGGGTTAGTCTCATTACCATAAATAAATGACAATGTCGTTGGTAGTCGGTAACTAAGGATAAAAAGGCAATTATAAAGCTACAGATGGCAAAGAACTTTCGCTTTGGCTGTGAAGTAGTTTCACTTTCGCTGTGAAGTAGTTTCTATAGGTTACGTAACCGGTTACATGGAGAAAGAAATGATAAAAACTTCAAGTCTAATGTAAATTTGAATTCGATCTAATCCATCAAACAAACTCATCATTGAGTAATGAGTATTGACTTCTTTTATTTAAAAATTATAGTAAACAGAGTACTTGTAGTTACTAATTGAAGGTTTCAGTACAGGTTTAATCAGTGTATTGGTAGTCAGAAGTGGCGGAGGTTTTCACTATAGACAGCAAATAGACAATTTTGGATGAGACGCAGATTTAAAAAGTTCCGATGTCAGACATTCGTCAATAAGTTTTGTATTCTTGTGTAAATTTGTATTGATCCCGTTTGAAGCGACAAGGGCCGGGGTCGTTCACATATTACATAATCATTTTTTGGAACATTTTTACCCCCCCCCCCCCTCCTACGTAATCAGTTTTACACAGAGCTATTGTGTCAAAATTACGCTAGCGTAATCATTCGGAACCCCCCCCCCCCCCCCCCTCAGCTGATTACGTAATATGTGAACGACCCCCAAGGAAAAATGCTCTTATTAGAAAAGGAATTACTCAACGTTTCAGTGTTACAGCATCGTATTCATGATCTCAAATTATTCGTTTAAATATAGTAGTGTTGAAAGTATCGAGTTTTCAATACTTTCAACACTACTATATAACAAATAATTTGAGATCATGAATACGATGTTGTAACATTGAAACGTTGAGTAATTCCTTTCCTGATAAGAGCATTTTTCCTCGCATCAAACGGGATCAATACAAATTTACACAAGAATACATTGCAACCATGCGAATCATGAACAATATTCCAATCCGGATTTTTCAATAAGTTTTGTTTACTGTTTTACTTTTAAAAAAGTGCCCTCAATGTCCTCTTACCTGAGCAAGTTTGAGCGTGTCCTCAATGTCCCCTCTAGATGCGCCCTCATCAATACTGAGCCCTACTGCACCGTACTGCTCAGCTACAGAGTGATAGGGTGTCTTCTTGTTTAGCGTGGACCCCACATCACTACCCAACATGGTACTCTGATCCCGCTCTATCTGACCCCATGATCCGTTGTTACCTAGTTAGTAGTTAGGGTTGTTACTTAGTTGTTGTTACCTAGTTCGGGTTGTTACTTAGTTGTTGTTACATAGTTAAGGTTGTTACTTAGTTGTTGTTACCTAGTTAGGGTTGTTACTTAGTTGTTGTTACCTAGTTAGGGTTGTTACTTAGTTGTTGTTACCTAGTTAGGGTTGTTGCTTAGTTGTTGTTACTTAGTTAGGGTTGTTACCTAGTTAGGGTTGTTGCTTAGTTGTTGTTACCTAGTTAGGGTTGTTACTTAGTTGTTGTTACATAGTTAGGGTTGTTACTTAGTTGTTGTTACCTAGTTAGGGTTGTTACTTAGTTGTTGTTACTTAGTTAGGGTTGTTACTTAGTTGTTGTTACCTAGTTAGGGTTGTTACTTAGTTGTTGTTACATAGTTAGGGTTGTTACTTAGTTGTTGTTACCTAGTTAGGGTTGTTGCTTAGTTGTTGTTACTTAGTTAAGGTTGTTACTTAGGTGTTGTTACTTAGTTAGGGTTGTTACTTAGTTGTTGTTACCTAGTTAGGGTTGTTGCTTAGTTGTTGTTACTTAGTTAGGGTTGTTACTTAGTTGTTGTTACCTAGTTAGGGTTGTTGCTTAGTTGTTGTTACCTAGTTAGGGTTGTTACTTAGTTGTTGTTACATAGTTAGGGTTGTTACTTAGTTGTTGTTACCTAGTTAGGGTTGTTACTTAGTTAATAGTTGTTGTTACCTAGTTAGACTTGTTACTTAGTTGTTGTTACCTAGTTAGGGTTGTTGCTTAGTTGTTGTTACATAGTTAGGGTTATTACTTAGTTGTTGTTACCTAGTTAGGGTTGTTACTTAGTTGTTGTTACCTAGTTAGAGTTGTTACTAAATACTTGAGTGGACAATAACATTGTAACACTGGTCATTGTGAACTATCAAATTTAGAGAAGGCCATTTTAACATGAAACTAACCAACGATAGCGATGAAGGGGAGATCGTGTGTGACAGCACGTTCAATTTCAGCTATACTGTAAGTACAACTACCGTCACCCCATAGCACCCAAACCTCCGAGTTAGGCTTCACCGCCTTCACGCCTGGTAAGTGGCACATTGGAAATTAATGGAGAAGAAATCATAATAGATATGTTGAAGTTATAATGGTAAAAAGCAGTTACAGGCCAGACAGTCGGACCACAATTGATGAAAATAACTTACCCAGTGCAAAGCCTCCTCCTACACCGAGAGTACCGTAAGCTCCAGGATCTAACCAACTCAGTGGTTTCTTAGGTCTTAGTATTCGGGATGCTGTTCCAACAAAGTCACCACCGTCCCCTACAAAATAAGTTAGATATTATTAGGAATAAATACGCGCGTGAGACGACTCATTGTCGATATATAACATTTCCAGTTCACTCTGTTCATCATGACAAGTTGAAATGTGCGATACAGTTGACAAGACGTGTAGAACATAGAAAAGATGTAATTAATCGCAAAAGTGGAAATAGTTTAATCAAACTTTGAATTCAACATTCTAGAAGGTGCTATAAGAATCAGTTTTATCGACAACACTCCCTAAACAACCTGCTCCGGTGCTCCCATACTTATCAATAAAAACATCATTGTAAATTAAAAACTAAAAAGCAATCACACTGGTCGAGTTTAACATACCTATAAGAATAGATTTGTCGGTTAAGACAGTGTCCAGGATTTCAAATAGTTGGACGGGGTTGATGCCTCCTTCCAGTTCCTTACTGCTTTCTGACCTGTGCAGATTATAATATATTAGTGATCACTGGATCTAGCTACAGGTGGGAACCATATTTGAACGAGGCAAGAACGAGGCAAGAAAACCGATTTGCAAACTCTAAAAAATGTTTTTACTTTCCCTTCGCGACTCAAATTAAACAATAGACAAAAACAGAGAAAAATAAATTCAATAAATAAGCTCCAAGGTCCAGTAAAAAGCACACTATAAAATAACTCACAACATCTTGGCCTCCTCGCCCTTCTCCCGCTCTGCAAGGTGCAGTAACCAGTCAGGGCAGGTAGCTGTACCAACCCTCGTCACTATACACTCCAGAATTTCTCCCTCCATCTGGAGCTTCGCTGACCAGAATATTCGGTGGTTCAGGGAGAGCTGGTTGTCGGATCGGTTTATAGCCACCACCTGGGCAGAGGGTTTAGAGTACCATGGTTACTAAACAGACAAGGCATGGTTACTATGGTTACCATGGTATATATAATATATATTTTTGCTATATAATATAGCAAAAATTTGACTTTCGGACGAATTTAACTATAAATAATCGAAATTTCGCCGAAATAATGTTGTCCGAATAAAGAGCTTATATTGTCATTAAGCATAATAGTCTACAGACTACAGTTACACTGGTACGGCTTGATCTGAGATTGTCGGGTATTAGGAGTATTGCTTTATTGCTTTTGAAACCGGGCTTAGACTAGCTTTATCACTGAAACAGTCTAGATACCAAGTTGATTATAACATACTTTTTTCATGTTATAAATCATGTAGTATCTAAACAAACCATCAACTCAACAAATTATAATAAGATTTCGTACGTACCAGAGCTTTTCTACCTAAAGATCTGCCATAATCCAGCCTAAAATCACAAACTGCTCCTGCCAATATGATCAGATCTGCTTCTTTGAGGGCAGCTTTTCTGGCTTGTCTGAAGAAGAGCGGATCATCCGCACCCAGCAACCCACGTGACATTCCCCCTGTCACAATGTGTTTATCAGATTTTCTAACGGTGTAGTAAAATTTATACATGAATCATGATCGTACCCCAATAATTTTACGGAATGAAAAGCACTATTTGGATGTGCTGCCTCAATCATTAATCATTTTCGAGAAGATTACAGAAACAATTAAAAACAACTGAATAGTTATCAACTCATTATAATTACCGAGAAAAGCGGGTATTTTGCAGTCCCTGATGGCTGATGCCAATCTGTCAGCGTGGATTGCTCCACCGGGTAGCATAGCCTGACTCCCAATAACCATGACTGGCCTTTTGGCGGCTGTTATCAGCTTACCCAGTTTCTTTATTGAGTATGGGTTCGGTTTAACTTTCTGAACCTGGTCAGTTTGTAGTGTTAGTTATGATGTAATAATGTTTCACGAAACGTATTGATGCACGATAACAGTGATCAGTCAGCAGCTTACTCACAACTTCTCATGTTAACGCAGATTCATTCAAAGATTAAAAATACTCAGAGGTGCAATTTCATACCGGCATGGGATCTACAGGGTGAGTTTTAACTCCGGCAAATATAGCGTCCACAGCCCATGAGATGTAACGTTGAGATAAACCCTTTGCTTTCCCTTTCACTCCCGACATCTCCTTAACTGTAAGAAAAACTGATAAATCATCAAATCAACAAATGATCTATAAAACAGGAGCCGAGAGGATCATCCTCTGAAGATGGGGAATTAAAGCTTTTCTACCTTTTATAATTAGACGACCATAATTCCATCCATGTACCTATAGTTTATTATCTTGCATAAGAAGAGGGATTCCCAAATCGAATCCCTGAAATAACAACAAGAATCCCACCTAACTGATAAGGATACAGCAGGTCAACAGGGAGCTCCAACATGACTGGGCCCGGAACATCGCTCTGAGCGATCCACAGTGCTTCTGTTACTTTGTCCTGGAGGTCCCGGAGACGGGTAACTCTTATTGTGTCCTTGCAGATAGAGGAGAAAACGGAGGTTTGGTCAACGTCTTGTAGCGCTCCTGGGATAAAAGGCCCGTGTGAAACAGTGGTACCGTGTAGTGGTGTGGTACTGAGTAGTGGTACCGTGCAGTGGTATCGTGTGAAACAGTGGTACCGTCAACCGTGTACTGTGTAGACCAAGACTGTAGCGGTATCGTGGCACAATGTTAATAATCATAATCAATAATCTACGACATATTAACCTTGTGTCTAACATTATTTAGAAACGAATCTTGAAGAAAAGTTATAGAAATATGAACAATAATAGTAGATGGAAGGTTGTCCTAACCTCTGCCCTTGAGTAAAGTGGGAGCAGCCCCACCAATCAGCAACACAGCTGTCTCTGCCATCTGAGCGTTCTTAATCGCAGTAACCGTGTTAGTCAGCCCCGGTCCAGCCGTCACCACACAAACACCCGGTTTACCAGATAACCGACACGCGGCATCAGCAGCAAACGCGGCACTCGCTTCATGCCGTGTGTCGATAACTCTTACTCCGGCTGTTTGGCAGCCGGTTAAAATGGGGGATATGTGACCACCTGTCAGTGTAAACACCTGTAAAGTAACATAGAGTAATTAATTGAAAAGCATTAATAAAGTAATATTAAGTAACATAAAGTAACATAAAGTAACATAATGTAACATAAAGTAACATAAAGTAACATTAAGTAACATAAAGTAACATAAAGTACAACATAAAGTAACATAATGTAACATAATGTAACATAATGTTACATAATGTAACATAATGTAACATAATGTTACATAATGTAACATAATGTTACATAAAGTAACATAAAATAAGTATATTGCGTTTATGAACCTTTAATGGAATTGTTCTTTAGCAAAGTTTTAAAGTTTAAATTCAAATCGTTCGAATTTTTATTGGTAACAATGGAGGTTGGGGACTGGGGAGGATATTTAAATCTGTTTTGACGTGACAACGGTTAACTTTAATCAGCTTGAAGTTGCAACCAAGCTTCAATTTGAAGCTTGGTCATTAAGAATGAAAATATTATCAGTTTCGTGCAATAGAATTTAAAACTCTTAAGAACAGTACCTGGTAAATGCCGTGTTGTTTCAGAGTGTTAGCCACGATATCTCCGCCATGATACGGACAATTAGGATCTAATTTGTAGAATAATCTGTCCACGTTCAGAACACGACGGACCGGTGTCAGAGCTTTCCACACCGTCATGAATTTACTTTTATGTAACATCATGATGCCCTGTTACACAAATTATTAAGATTGTAGTTGTAAGGACTGGTTTAATGAGTATGGAAAAATCCTTGTTAAATGTCACTTATTAATTAAAAAGGCATGGACAGTAGCAAAATGGTAGTTTTCACTCGAAATGATTAAGAATGTTTGTAGCAAACTAAAACGTCTGCCTTGTAACCAAACTTTTATAGTTATTTGAGACCCACTTGCACATTTGAAAATTCCGACGAATAAAAATACAAACTATAAAAATCAATTGCATCGAGGTTTACTTCAATATACATTATCAACTTCATGTCTACACGAAACCAAGATGGGTCATTTCTTGGTGTTATGATAAATAAATAGAGTGTGATTTAGATTTAGCAACAACTCTAGTAACCATAGTAACCATAGTAACCATCAAAATTCTTATCTAAAATAAATAACTTATCGTAACATTTACTTAAATAGACGAGATCATAAATATTTCATATTCATCGAAATTTATCAACAATCTCAAGAATCAACAAAAGATCAATACTGATCAGTATACAAAAAAAAACTAAACATCTCACAAAATGTTCAGTTTAAAGCGAAATTGAGGGGTCACCCATTTCAATTTTAACAATTCTACTCCCTAAGAAGATACGTAACAAGATACAGTACATACCAAGATAAATAACAAGCAAATTTAATCAGCTTACAAAAAACGGGAAACGAAACTAAATCTCCTAGCTACATGCCCCTTTCACGGCGATACTCCTTCCATTCCTTGTAGTTCGCCATGAAATCAGTTTCTGGTGTAATAATCTCCTCCTCAAGTGCAGGATTGTAACCATAATATCTCTCATTCATAATCTCGTGGAGAGGCTCAGTATGATCGATAGCATTTGCTATACAGTCTGGTATACCTGCTCCGCTGTAGGAGTTCCCTATCAGTGACAACCGCAGGTTATCCTCCTTGATCAGTCTGAACAAGTGCTTCACTCTGTTTCTGTGTCCCACCGTGTAATGTGGTATACATTTCTCTAGAATATCCACGTGACATTGACTTGGTTCTGCGGTTATTCCTAAGTATTTTTTAATTGTGTCCAGAGCCATAGTTCTGATGAGGTCCCGATCACATGTTTTAGGGTCGCCAAAATATTTCTCAAACCATTCACCACCAATCATTAAAGATAAACGATTTGATTTGTATTCTGTTGTGTCGTTCTCAGGGAAGATTACTGAATCGAATATGATCCCCAAAACTGCTGGGTTTTCGTAGGAAGGTATCAAACAACCAAACGCTTTAAGATCGAATGAAATATCCTTGAATTCTAACGAAACATGAGCAACGTCTACAAAATTGATTTCTGATAAGCGTTTGCCGATTTCCTCGTCCGGCAGTGCATTAGCGAGTGCAAAAGATGGAATAGCCGAAACTACATGGTCGAAGTGTCGAGCTTTTCCATCCTTTACTGTAACTGTCACTTCAGGGTTTCTGACTGAAATGTGTTCAACAGGAGAGTTTTCATATATATCAACATTTGAACTGTCTCTTAAAATATTGAGGATGGCTCGAGGTAGCTGTTCCATCCCATGTTTGAAATTTAACATTCGCCACCCATCTAATTTAGCTTTCATTGCAAACTCATTTTTATTCCCAACAAACTCAGGCACGTTTACCTTGTTATGGTACATGGATTTGATAATGCTCCTCCGTTCATATTCACCCTTAACAAGCTGAGGAAACATAGCTGACACACCCAACGTCCTGGAATCGCTAGCAGAAATACCTCTACACATCGGGTCTGAGATCAAATCTGCTATTTCCCGTCCAAACCGCCTCGTGAAGAACATGTGTACTGACTCATCATTAGCAGAATACCGTCCTTTAGAGACAAGGTCCTTCACAGCGGCTTTAACAAACGCGCTCATTTTGTCGTGTTTGATTGCAGTTGTCAGACTGGATGGTAACGCCACTAACTTACCCTCTAACCCTATATATCTGACCTTTGCAGCAGGATGATCCTTCGTCACACTCAAAACCTGAGAGTTCAGAGCAATCTCGTCCACTAGTTCTAGCAGCCTGATACCGTTATTTCCCACACACCTCAGTGAATGTGGTCCCAGCTCAAACTTAGCTCCGTTTTCAGTTCGTCTAGTCTGGATCCAGCCCCCAAATCGAGAGAGGCCTCGTAAAGAGAGACATGAGCAGCGGGGTTCAGGGAGAGATTGTAGGCTGCTACCAGTCCTGCAATCCCCCCGCCGAGAACTGATATCTTCATTGTCTTGTACCCTATGGAGTTAGTTAGCACTTGTTAAATTTGAGTAATTCAGGACATAATAAACTTGTTAACATAAATTCTGTTCAGGTAGGGTAGTTTATTAATTTGATGCTTCCAAAGAAATGAATATAGCAGTACATTCCCGATGTAAACAATATTAAGGAACAAGTCTGAAATTGTATTAAATATGATTAAAAATAATTATAATTAAAAATAAGTATTAACAATTGAACAATACATCGATGTTTCACATAATATATTATCTTCAAATACAAAAATAAATCACTTTTTAAAAATGAAAAGATTATCGCTTAAGTAATTTAGGAATAAAAATATATTTGAACACAGTTGATAATTTGAGAAACAAGAGATTTGCAATAGAACACAAAAACACAAACTCGGATAAAAATGTGGTATCATTCTCATAATTTCACTCAGGTCAACCACTGATCAAGTAGTTAACGGCCCAAACCAAGGTCATAGACCCAACCACTCATACATTACTCGACGACCTGATGTACAGCCAAAAACTTCATTATCAGGTGAGCCCGCGTAACAAATATCAGTCAAACATTCCACTCTGTCTCTTTCATCATAACCATATTATTTCAACCCAATCCAGTCGGTAAAATAAGTAGGCTAATCCTCAATGTTGATTGTTGGTATGTATGTGATTTTGGAGGGTTCGTCTCAAAACATATGATTCTACTGCAGTCCCTCAGTCATCAGCAGTATCGCTGCCTGCTTCAGATCCTACTGCATCATCAGTATCGCTGGCTGCTTCAGATCCTACTGCATCATCAGTATCGCTGGCTGCTTCAGATCCTACTGCATCATCAGTATCGCTGGCTGCTTCAGATCGTACTACATCACAAAACTTTACCATCTCGTCAAGCACCTGAACAATTCACAAGTTAGATCTAAAAAGAAATATTGTGCTCATCGAATGGTTGACATCTTTTATTTATAGACCTATTTCACCCTGTTACAAACCTTGATTGTGCACTCAGGCGTGTCCATGTGGAGGTAGTGTTTAGCTCCTTCGTAAAACAAAAGTTTTGTAGTTTTGGAGCATCGTTTCGACCATGCGGTTAGATTAGTTTTCTAAAATAGGAAACATTACAAGCAATTTTAATCTACAAAAGCTGTATAGATGGCCACATCTTCTAGAAAAACAATTTAAACTATATTAAACTATAAACAATTAACCATGATGTCAGACTTTTGATCAGTGCAACACAGTTGTACAGTTACAGTATGTACAGTTACATACATTAAGAAGCTGATCATCCTGTCCACACTGTATAAGTGTAGGGCAGCTCAGGGGCTCCTCAACCTGCTCCAGATCACCCATAGCTGTCGTTACAGCGTGTATTGTGCTGAGACGGGGCCCTTCGTGCCAGATAAACGGGTCACGTGCGTACTTCATTCTTTGATCCTGGGACAGTTTAACTGTTGAAATTATTGCCCACAATGGTCTTAAACTCACGTCACTTTTCTGTGACTGCAAGATGCGAATAAAAATGACCCCTGCAGTTTTATATACATATAATTTATGATTGTAGATCGTTGAAGATATCGAGGTAAATCTAGAGTGATTTTATAAAGTTACTATTTACCTTGTCGGTAATGAGAAGAGCTGGATCAGTTCCGTTAACAGGACTGTACGCTAGTGGTAGTACATAGGACAGATACCAGCATACGTTCACTGTACTGGCGTGCTCTTCTAAAAACTGTAAAGGGGAACTTTAGCTTGTTATAATCATCATTAGCACAGTATAAAGCTAGGATTACTCGTGAATTGAACCGCTGGACCTTAAAACTCGTACTTATGGATCAGCCAACCTTAAAAGATAAATACCAAGAATGAAAATCTGAATCAAATTAATGGAATCTAAAAGCACCTTGAAGATAGGACCATGAAGTATCAAACCCTTGACAAAACCAGGGTTTTGTGCGGCTAAGAGAGCGGCAAGTAACCCACCCACTCCGTGCCCGAACAGTAAGACATTGTCAGTGTCTTGGTACTGGCACTTTACTTCCTCTAAACACTGAAGAGTGTCCGCAACGTACGTCTGGAAGTAAGGATGTCAATCAACTCTGATCTAAATGATATTTAGCCAGAAAAAAGGACAGGATTTATCTGTTATTTGTACTTTTCGGAGGCAAAAGTTTACGATTAACGTCCAACAAAATTGAAATATCGCTGATTTCAGGCTAATTTTGGTAACCTGGTAGTTTGAAGTGTGAAGTCTGGTGCCACTGCTGAGCCCATGTCCGTACTGGTCGTGAGAAGCGACAGTGTAACCAGCCTCCAGGAACCTAGCTGCTATCACATCGTACAGCAAACAGTGCCCTCCTAACTCGTGTACTATGTATACTATACCTGGTTTATGCGAATTTAAATATTGGTATAATAATATTGATACAATAATATTAGCTTATCTAAGGGTTAATGTCAATCAAAAAAGAGCAGCAAGCACTTTCTAGTTTTATAGTGAGAATCTTTGAAAAACGATTCATGGTATTTGACTCCTGAGTTGTAATAAACGCAGCCTTCACCTTTAGGTGCTGTAGATAGAGGCCACAAGCGGACAAACAAGCTTTTGCCCGTAGTATTTGAAATAATCTGTAGTGAATTATCCAAGAGACTTCCCATCCTGAATAAATCGTCTTTTTAAAAAGGAGGAAAGTTGTTGTAATCGATAAAATGGAGATAACATACAGTTTTATGTAACAGGAAAGGATAGAAAATGGGAAACTAAAGCGATGAGAGGCATCAATTAGAGAAATAGTCGCATATCAAGGTTCAGTAATTTCGATGGGTATATGTGTCCTAAGATATTTTAAATATATCCAAGTATAGATATCAAAGTATATATAATAGCATGTCATAATATAGCAGTCAAAATTTGTTACATATAAATATCAAAGTATAAATTACGCCAGGCTACATAGCATAATATAAGTTTTACTACATAAAATTGTGCTAAATACGTCTGTTTCTGAACAACGATGTGATAAATAAAGTAACAAAAAATCTGATATGATAGACAATTGCATGGAAATATATGTACAAAATGCCTGCCCTTTATAATTACAAAGTAATAATACATGATAGTAAAAACGAGTTAACCATAGCTGTGCTCTGTCTTCTGAAATCGGTCAAAATCCCTACATAACATACTAAGATCTTAGATAATTAAAAATTTCCACGCATATTATTTTCGACCGAATATAATCTAGATTTTACAGAGTTTATTTCTCCGAGCAACTTCTTGGACCGTTGTGCGGTTGATTTAACGTGTTTAAGAACGTGTATGTCTGGATTCTCTTTTTCAGCCAATGAAACCTGAGACAAATATAGTTATTACAACAGAAGAGGCGTAGAATTTAAATTGACTGATTATCAGTGAAACGACCAAACCTAATAGAACATTTATAACGAGACTACAGCCGAAAACAAACCTTAAATAACTGTTTCTCCAGATCGTGGACCTTCTTTCTCAGCATTTGCACGTCTGTCTTGAACCCTTCCATTTCTAACGTTCTCCTACTATCCAGTGCTTCATACCTGATTTAAATTCCTTCATAATCTGCCGTTTAAAGTACTTGGAGAGACAGGATATCGGAATGTTTGGCTGATATGGAAAGTAGCAGATTGAAGCTTATTTCTTACCTCGAATTCATGGTGGTAAGTCGTCTTGTCATTTGGGAAGTTCGTTCTTTGAACAGAGAACGGGAAACATCGTTTTCTTCTTTAACCTTGCACAGCTCTTCTTCAAGAGTCAAACACTGTTCGCGGTACATGTCGCACAGCTTGTTTGCCTGGAAAATTGTAGCTGTCAAATGATATATCTTGTAATCGTTGAAAATTTAAATAGCCGAGTAAGCGTGAATAATATCAATGTAAGCTACGTACAGATTTGAAATATTAATCGATCCCAAGTACAGAGCGGCATAAATAGGTTATTTAAAATAACGAAGCACGTTGTGAGTGCGCGCGCAACGCGCGGCAATACTAAATGCTAAAATTTCAACTTTTAATATAAATGAGGTGAAAAATTTACGCGCCTAAAACAAATCAGAAGATGAATCCGAGTTCGTGGAAACATTTGTGTCCGATTTGGAAACATGTTTTTGGCTGTATATGTCCGTAAACAGAGTTGGATTTGCCCTGATATGATACAGTGGCTTGAGTACTAACATTTTAAGCTTCCTGTGAAATATTTCTATGATTCATATAATGAACGAAATGAACAAAAAATGAACATTATCCTAGAATTGCCTAAAATGAGCTGAAACCGATTGGTATCGGTTGGTATTGATACCAGAGGTGTCCCTGAGAAGTTTGGTGGGTCTAGCATGTTCAGAAAGGGCTCTGGGGCAATGTTTCCATTTTGGTGTCAGAGTAGTTGAGCTCGTGCAAACATTTGCGTCCGATTTGGAAACATGCCCTTGTAGCCGCAATTATGCCTGGACTGACTTGAAATCGATCTGGTATGGTAGAGGGACATGTGTACTAACATTTCTAACCACTCAAACGTGCGAAATATTTCCCTGGTTCAGGGAATGAACGAAATGAACAAAAAATGAACATTATCCTAGAATTGCCTAAAATGAACTGAAACCGATTGGTATTGATACCACAAGTGTCCCTGAGAAGTTTGGTGGGTCTAGCATGTCCAGAAAGGGCTCTGGGGCAATGTTTCCATTTTGGTGTCAGAGTAGTTGAGCTCGTGGAAACATTTGTGTCCGATTTGGAAACATGCCCTTGTAGCCGCAATTATGCCTGAACTGACTTGAAATCGATCTGGTATGGTAGAGGGACATGTGTACTAACATTTCTTACCACTCAGAAGTGGAAATATTGCCTTGGTTCATGGAATGAACGAAATGAACAAAAAATGAACATTATCCTAGAATCGCCTGAAATGAGCTGGAATCGATTTGAGGGGGGGGGGGGGGAAATCAGTACCCATACGTTGGGTCTTATACCTTTATACCACCGCCGTGTTTTATAATATATATTATATACATATATCAAATATTAATAATATTTGAGAGTTGTTGCTTTGCAGATGGCATACTGAACCTACTTGTTCGAGGATTCCGTCACCAAAATTTAAAAATGCAATCAACATTGAATTTCTTATATTCGTGTTTGTGAACATGTTAGAGACTCCGTTGTAACATATTGCCTGGGTCGTTTAATCCGGAATATAATCTGAAAGATGGCGCGAAACGGAATTAAAATGACGAAGTTATCAAGCTATTTGTTTATCTCGTTAGCAAAATTGATTGGGTACTCAATGATTACCCAATTACGACAACCGTAATTGGGCTCTCTGCATGCTTCCCATAATGCGGGTCTAGCCTCAACCTAATCACCTGATCACATGTCATGAACAAACTTGTTATGCTTCATATGTCTTAATACTTGCAACACTACTATATAGCAAATAATTTGAGCCTGATGAAAGTGTATTACACTGAAAGATCGCGTTTCCTCCTAAACAATAGTTTGATAAGTCTCTACTACCGGTCATCCATAAAATCATTATCTTCATATCTCGGTCATCTGAGAAGCTAGGACTCATTTTTTCAGGACAAACGTAATTTAAATGACCAAACACCATTCAATAACATTTGGTTCGATCCGGATATCAAAACTATCAAATAAATGCGAAAATGAACCTTCATTTGGTAGTAAGTCATACCAAAAATAATTATTTCAATTGGGCACTCAGTGACTGAGCTATTAAGGCCAACGTATGGGTACTGACTTTTGCCCCCCCCCCCCCTGTATTATTCAATAGTATACAAAAACATTTAAGTTTAACGTCTGGCACGTTTGGGAGCGTTTAGGGGTCCACCATCACTTCTCATTCGGCATGTTTCCAAATCGGACACAAATGTTTCCACGAGCTCAACTACTCTGACACCAAAATGGAAACATTGCCCCAGAGGCCTTTCTAGACATGCTAGACCCACCAAACTTCTCAGGGACACTTGTGGTATCAATACCAATCGATCCCAATCAGTTTCAGTTCATTTTAGGCAATTCTAGGATAATGTTCATTTTTTGTTCATTTCGTTCATTCCATGAACCAGGGCAATATTGCGCCCTTCTGAGTGGCTAGAAATGTTAGTACACATGTCCCTCTACCATACCAGATCGATTTCAAGTCAGTCCAGGCATAATTGCGGCTACAAAGGCATGTTTCCAAATCGGACACAAATGTTTCCACGAGCTCAACTACTCTGACACCAAAATGGAAACATTGCCCCAGAGCCCTTTCTGGACATGCTAGACCCACCAAACTTCTCAGGGACACTTGTGGTATCAATACCAATCGATCCCAATCGGTTTCAGCTCATTTTAGGCGATTCTAGGACAATGTTCATTTTTTGTTCATTTCGTTCATTCCATGAACCAGGGCAATATTTCGCACTTCTGAGTGGCTAGAAATGTTAGTACACATGTCCCTCTACCATACCAGATCGATTTCAAGTCAGTCCAGGCATAATTGCGGCTACAAAGGCATGTTTCCAAATCGGACACAAATGTTTCCACGAGCCCAACTACTCTGACACCAAAATGGAAACATTGCCCCAGAGCCCTTTCTGGACATGCTAGACCCACCAAACTTCTCAGGCACACTTGTGGTATCAATACCAATCGATCCCAAACGGTTTCAGCTCATTTTAGGCGATTCTAGGACAATGTTCATTTTTTGTTCATTTCGTTCATTCCATGAACCAGGGCAATATTTCGCACTTCTGAGTGGCTAGAAATGTTAGTACACATGTCCCTCTACCATACCAGATCGATTTCAAGTCAGTCCAGGCATAATTGCGGCTACAAAGGCATGTTTCCAAATCGGACACAAATGTTTCCACGAGCTCAACTACTCTGACACCAAAATGGAAACATTGCCCCAGAGGCCTTTCTAGACATGCTAGACCCACCAAACTTCTCAGGGACACTTGTGGTATCAATACCAATCGATCCCAATCAGTTTCAGTTCATTTTAGGCAATTCTAGGATAATGTTCATTTTTTGTTCATTTCGTTCATTCCATGACCCAGGGCAATATTTCGCCCTTCTGAGTGGCTAGAAATGTTAGTACACATGTCCCTCTACCATACCAGATCGATTTCAAGTCAGTCCAGGCATAATTGCGGCTACAAAGGCATGTTTCCAAATCGGACACAAATGTTTCCACGAACTCAACTACTCTGACACCAAAATGGAAACATTGCCCCAGAGCCCTTTCTGGACATGATAGACCCACCAAACTTCTCAGGCACACTTGTGGTATCAATACCAATCGATCCCAATCGGTTTCAGCTCATTTTAGGCGATTCTAGGACAATGTTCATTTTTTGTTCATTTCGTTCATTCCATGAACCAGGGCAATATTTCGCACTTCTGAGTGGCTAGAAATGTTAGTACACATGTCCCTCTACCATACCAGATCGATTTCAAGTCAGTCCAGGCATAATTGCGGCTACAAATGCATGTTTCCAAATCGGACACAATTCTGACACAATTCTGACACATGTTTCCAAAATGTTTCCAAAATCTCGGATTCATGAACTCAAACAAATTACCGATTGTGCCATTAACACCAGCGAAAATTCAACAGTCTTCGAGAAGTTTTGTGGAAAAAAAAAGAAGACTCAAAAACATACCTGATCAAGTTCAACTTGAAGGTTTTTGTTGGTTGTGACGATAACTTGCCTCCCAGTAAGACCCAAAAGAGCTTGTTCGCCAGTATCCGTTAACTCCGTACAGGTCGTATCAATGTCCTGGAATATCACTGTAAGTAACGATAGAAGCATTGCAGTGTAATAATTATTAAGTAGTGACACTTTTTTTAATCGTCAATCAATCTCGTTCAACAGCTGGTGCCTGGTAATATGTATAAAATTCTTTATAAATCATTACCTCTTTAAGTTTATCAAGCTCTCTAAGTAGATGATCTTTCTCTTCGATCCAGCGTCTCTCAGCTTGTCGGTGTTCGTACTTTAAAGTCAGGAAGTCTTTGGTACCTGTGGGATTGGTTGTCGTATCAGAAGTGGAGAACTGTACGTCAAAATACTGAACAGTAGGTTCTATCTAGTCCGGACAAAAAGCCTATCAGCAGCCTGGTGGGGCGCTCACACAATCGTTTATAGCTTCCACTGATAAATGTACAGGGATTGGTCTATTTCTAGTTGCAAAAACACAACAACAACTCATTTGCAAAGTTCACGTTGTCTCTCCCCAATAAGCCGCCGATCAGGGGATATACTCCTCCAACCCTCCAAGTACGAACTCTGCTGTGCTGGCGCAACGAGCGAGACTTAACTTCGCTGTGGGGTGGTCAGAACATGTGATGGCCCCGTCAAGTCTTGATGAAATACAACATAGGTCACATAGGTAGGTAGCCACAAGTAGTGATCCTGTCTGCACAATATGTTATATGCCCTACTTCCACTTAAGACTAAGGTAGCCAACCCTAATAGGTCTAATTACGGTTGTCCCTTTGACCTTTGTTTGTCTTTATACATATAGTACTTCAGTTGGCCAATGTCTTTATACTTGTTGGCCAATGGTCAAAGCAGTAGTAGTATAGGACCGTACTGGCATACTATAAATATGCAACCAGCCAGTTACAAGAGCTTTAAAGAAGCTGGATTATCTTAAAGGAAAGGGAAGTGTAGTCGTTCTTCAACCGATCCTTCACGGCACAAAGGTAGCTATACTCTATAGGTCGCGACTAAAAGATTCGCAGTCAGATCCAAAGTCACAAAACCTGTATTGTACACGGTTTCCATACGTTGGACTGAATTAATTTGCATACAACAAACTGAAAGCTGCTGTACAAATGACAGGCTGAACCCCGTGACAGGCTGAACCACGTGACAGTATAGCAGCACACAAATTGAAGCATACGAGACAGGGGATCTACCCCCACAAATGAAAATTTGAAATTCATAGTTGAGTATGAAAAAATGCTGTATGAGAAAATTTTGCCAGTTTACAGAATTTTTACGCTGTAGAGTGTTATTTTTTGATTTTACATGACATCACTGCCCTATATGAAATCAAACACCATTGGTAAAATTATTCATTTAAACCGCTAGTCGGTGAAAACTACTAAGTATTAGACCGGAATATTTTGATGTTACATTTGATAGGGTTCTCGAAAACGTGCAGTGCCCAGGGGTGGAGGAAGTAGGGGGGGGGGGGGCCATGCCCGCCCCCGCCCCCACTTTTCAGCCCCCAGAGGCCATAATATCAAATGCCCCCTCCCCCACTTTTTGATCCAATAAATAATAAAATTGCCAAGAAAGACCCTCAACGTACTGTCGTAAAGAAGTCCCTGAGTTTTTTGTAACTGGTCAGCAAGATGCTGGACACGTTCCTGAAGATGCTGCGCCTCAACCTCGTGCTCAGCGCGCCTTATTTCACCATCTTCCCGTAGTACTGACACTTGGTCGTAGTGCAGCTTCTTGCAGTCGTGTAACTGTGATACATTAAAAGTAAGCAGAATTGCACAATATAAACTTTGATTTAGGAAGTTACTGTATAGTACTGATAATAATCTTACTATATATAAAGCGAGACGATATATATATAGAGCAGCTCTCAAAGAAGTCAAAGGTTGGAAAGACATTGTAATCAGACCATTCGATAAAGGAGTAGGATTCTTCCTTCTTAGTGAAGAAGATTATATTCAACGAATAGGTGTACATTTAAATGATAGATCTGTATATAGTATTGTAAATAATGTAGATGATTTAGTTGTAGAATTGATTGATAAAATTTCGAATTGGACAATTGAGTTTAAAGATGAATTAGGTATGTCCAAGAAGGTCAAGGAGTGGGTTATTCCATGTACTGAGCTTAACCAGCCTGGAAACATGTACCTGAATCCCAAGGCACACAAACCACCTTTGTATCCTGGGAGGATGATTACCACCGGCTGTGGTTCATACATTGAAAACCTTTCTGCCTTGACTGCGTATGAATTGAAGAAGGCTACTTTGAATTATAGAATTATTGATACCCCTCACTTTCTGAGGAAGATTGATAGCCTGAACGAGTCTAGCATATTGTTGGGAAAGGAGGTTATACATGTTGCCATCGATATATCTAACATGTTTACCAACATTCCTAGGGATATGGGGATCCAACAATGCACTAAGCACCTGAATAAAAGGAGTAGTGGTGATCAATTGTTTAGTACAGAATGCATTATTAGTGCACTAGAAATTACTCTTGATTACAACATTGCTTCATTTAACAGTATAACATACCGCCAGGAGCGTGGAGCAGCGATGGGTCCTAAGAACTCATGTGAGTATGCTGATTGTGCTATGGATAAGATTGATATTTTAGTTAACGAAGGAGATCTAGAATATGGCCCGCCTCATAGACCAGCATTCTGGGGTAGATTACGTGATGACATTTATATGGCTTGGCCCGGTACTGTTGAGGAATTATTACAATTCATGGAATGGCTCAATAGTATCCACCCAAACCTTTTGTTTACTTACGACTACTCTAGGGACGGCGTTGAGTTTCTAGACACCTATGTCTATGCTGTTGGTGATGTTGTCCACACCAAACTCTACTCTAAACCTAGTGACACCCACTGCTACCTTATCCCCACGTCATGCCATAGGAACCATGTTGTAAAAAACATACCTTTTGGAGTGGCGAGGCGGGTGAGACAGAACAACAGTGAAGATACTAACTTCTTGGAGCAGAGAGAGGTCTATACACGTTACCTTCTAGCCCGAGGTTATCATTCCAGTATTATAGAAGATGCCTTTAACAAATTTAGTGATATAGCTAATAGGAAAAACTTGTATACCCTTAAAGACAAGGATGAGTCGACTGCCTGTTTAATACCCATGGTGATGGATCAAAATCCAGCACTTCCCAACATGGGGGGCATTATCCATAAGTATAAGCACCTTCTCAACCTTGATCCGGCCCTGAAGAAGCTGGTACGTGCGGACAGTGTATTCGTGAGTCATCGAAAGAATCAAACTATCGGTGGCATGCTTGTACACAATAAGTACCGTGCCAGTGGAACTTTAAACTGTGATAATGAGAGAGAAACAACTGCAAGCCAGATCCAGGAACCAGACTCCGAAAGTCTAAGGGCGGTTCCCGGGGCTGTCGACCCAGGGTGCCATGCTTGTGGTAAATGTTATGTTTGTAAGCAAAATTTCCTGTCCCCCTGTTCCAATTTTAGTAGTCACCATTCTAAACAAGTTTTCCCTATAACTAAGTATATATCTTGTCAGAGTTATAACCTCATTTATTTAATGGAGTGTAAGACTTGTAAACAGTCGTATGTCGGTTATACTACCTCAAATCTCCCTAAGAGATTCTCTAACCATAAGAGTCACATAAAGAAAGGTATAAGAAGTTGTAAATTAGTTAACCATTTTTTAGATATTGATCATGATTTAGATTTTAGTACCATAGCCTGCTATAATTCCTCACTTAGTAAGCACCTTTCTGTCATTATAGTAGACGCTTTAGTATTTGAGCCTAATATTAGTAAAGCAGACAAAGAAAAGGCTATGGAAGCTAGAGAGGGGTTCTACCAGACCCAATTGAAAACCCTTGAACGGTTTGGGGGTATGAACACCCTTGATAGTAACCATCTACTTTTTAAATCTGCCGGAGCTTAGTTTTAGTTTTAGTATATTTTGTAGATTTTATTTAGTTATACCATTATTCCAGAGACGTGCATAATACATTTTTTACTTAAATATAAATTTTACAGGTTTTTGTTGTGATTTTAAGTGATTTTCCGAGAATCAGTTATCAGTATTTAGATAAGAGATAAGACAAGAGTACATTTTTAACGGCTTTCAGTTTCTTTTTTTAAATTTCAGTTCATCAGATTTTCCCACTGCTTTTAGTTTGTATTTATTCTCAATTGTATATGATTCGTATTTGTTGTAGTTACTTTAATGATATAATTTCTCAGAATTGATGTAAATAAACGATGCAAAGACTTTCGAAGATCTAATCACAACCGCTTTCTTTTATTGTGTAGAAGTCCAGCCATGAAATATATATATATTTATCTGTGCCATTTTACTGACACCACGGCATCAACTTTAACGCGAATTTCCGCAAAAACCACAAAAGATATACAACTGAAATTTTTTTGACTGGGTCAAATGCTTTAATGGCCTTCAAATCAGTATGCAAAAATAAAAAATTGGCCAAGAAATAGGAGTTTTAGAGCCCAAAATTTGGTACCCCAAGTGGTGTCAAAAACGCGAATTAAATAGGTAATAATTATTTTAGTCTCTTGAGTCTTGACACCATTTAGGGTTATACGGGTTCCTGCTAGTAGTTATAATTGACAAAGGATTGTTTAAACATGCCACATTCCTGGTTTTGACTGGAATTCACCATCAGCTCAAACCACATATTGCGTTAATATTTAAACATCATTTTACCTGTGATTGCAACGATTCGATAGTTAAAAGCAAGCTATTCTTTTCGATTTCATCGTTTTTCAGTAAATCGTCTTTCTTCTTCTGAAGTGCCGGCTGTTTTTTCGGTCTAACATTGCTCTGAAATATTGAGTTATGAAACCACACACGGGGTCGAGTTTACAATGTTATAACCATACTATCGGGAACGCTCTATCTATCTAACTAACTAAGTAAACATAATTTGTAAATTTTACTCAATAACTTTGCTACAAATTATTAATTATGAAGATTGCAAAATAAGATACGTACTTTTAGAGGAGGTTTGGTGACAAAGTAAGTTGTGCTCTGAGAAGATGGTCCCACACTAAGAGACAGAAGATGCTGTATCTTCTGTCTATCCTCTAGTTCTCGTATCTTCAGTCTGTCGTTCTCTGCGTGTACTTTTAATACCTAATACACAGGAATCTATGAGGAGATTTAAACTCGAGTGGGTTTGAATTTTAGGATCAACAAAGTGTCCTGAAAATCAATGTATGGGAAGATTTGACACAGCTGGAAGTTGGATGGATTATTGTTGTTATTTTAGATCAACTTTTAACCTTTGGAATTTTATCATAATCTTGAAATTTCGGATGGATTATATGATACGAACTCGATAATTTATACCCTGCAGAAGTCAAAAGTACCCATATCCAGATCATGAAAATAATATAATCTAGCACATTAAACTGCATTAAACTACGTGTATATAAGTTACCTGTTCACGTTCCTGGAAGAGGCACACTTGCAGGTCACTGATACCTTTCTGCAGAGCGTTGATCTCCTCGTCCTTTTGCTGCACCTTCCACTGGGACGAGTGCTGGCTCTCTGCAGCTGTCTTGAACTTCTCCAGTCTGTCCAATGTCTCTTCTCTATCTTGATCGTACTCAGCTACCTGTAACGCAGAAAGTTTAGAGAAAATTCTGTATACATTGTGTATAAGTGTATATAATATGCAAGTATTTACTTTTACATAAATGATGGGATGGCTTCGATTGTACAAGGCTTATCAGTTAAATCAAATCCTTATAATGATTGTAATTTTCGAATATTTTATAAGAATTAATAACCAGTTCTACAGCCACATACGGGGGTGTCACCCCCCCCCCCACATGTCACCCCTGCCCCCCCCCCCCCCCACAAACCTTGTCACGGTAAAATTGAAGGAGTTCAGCTGAGGGCCGTAGTTGAGCCAGTCTCTCCGAAAGAGGTAAAACAGGGGAAACATCTAAGTCCACCATTCTGGGCATTTTATAATGAAGTGTTTTTAATGTAAATTTTGAGATGATTAATCAAAGAGTGATATACAGATTTAATATTAAGTATGGAATTTTATGAGACAGTCAGGTTTTAAAACCGTCCTTTTAGGGTTTTAAACGATGTTAGAGCAGCAATAAGTCGAGTAAAATACAGTCGAGTATTGAAATGAAATGAGGTATTTATATCCCGCTCATATGATTAATCAACAACACAAGGAAGGTGGTTAACCATGTCAGACCCATGTCAGAGCGGCTGACTGTGAGTGATGTGAGCAAATGTATAAAAGTATAACTCATTATATAAGGCAAAGACAAAATTAAAACATCTTTTATTGTAAACCACACTAAACTAATAGTAGTAGCTTATAAGTAGAAGCAGAAACCATACAATACATGTAGGTAAACAGAAACGAGAATCTACATTAATTACCTTGCACACAAATTCAATTTTAAAATAAAACAAAAACCCGATCGTTATTATTTAAAAAATGCAAAATAAGCAAAAAACATCAGTAAAATTAATACATCCTTTATAGATTTTTATCTTTCTTGAATTACTTAAATTAAACTGAATATTATTCTGCAGATTATGATTAAAAAATGTGATTGTAGAGATTCACATAGAATGTGAAGTTAAATGGATCTGTAATGCTGCTGTTATAAAATAAAAATTAGGCTTGTGACTCGTCATCTAGGAGTAAGGAAGATAAGAAATTCACAATCACTTGTTAATGTAAGGGGTTCCAATCAATAAACAGAAGTGCCCTCACAAGTGAAGTCTTAACAAATGTCCCAATAGATGTGGATTCCGATGGGTAGGTATATATTTTGTTTGATTGGTCAATAGTTGAAGCTGATTGGTTAATTTCTGTCAAGTGTCAAAACAATATGCACCTCCCGAGTAGAATGTACATCATTCAGTTTTTCTAAACTTTTCAAGAAAAACAACAACACAACCTCTCACCTCTTACATGCAATTACTTTGTAAGGCCTCGGGACCCTAGTCCATCCTTCCGACTGGAACAATTTGATTGAAATATCATTACTGACATCAATGCTCACTGTTGGCCAAATGCTATGAGAGTCTTTCACAAGTTGTGTCAGTTTTCTGATAATGATTCTGGCTAGTCCTTTACCCCGATGATTCTGTACAACATGCAATTGCCCCATCTGTCCATCTGAATAAATCATTATCCACCCCACTGGTAACTTTTCTCTTTCATAATAGAGAGCAACATGGGGCCGTTTGATATTCAGTTTTACATAATCTTCTTTTATTTTGCTGAGTGATTGATCTGCCCCTATATCTTGACACCAAATACCTGCCACAAACTCAACTTGACTGTCAGAAATCGACCCAAAGCTGTAACCAACAGGTAATCCAGGTATTAACCTAAAGCTAAGATTTTTAGGCAGAAAATACAACTGGTATCTTTCTCCACTGTTATAACCATGGTCAGTGACTTTATTAAACTTTTCCATAACAGGCATATATAATATTTCGGGTTGTAAATGTAGAATTATCCTAGAAATGTTTGCTTTCCTCAATTGATCGACAATTTCCTGTCTGAATACTAAGTCAACAAATGTGCTTATTTCTACCGAAATTGCCCTACTATCACAGTGAACAGATATTCTATTGATTGTCCCCTCTTTAATAATTCCATAGATCACAGAAAAATAAAGCCCTCTTTCAGAGATATAAGATTCGATTGATTGCACTTCTTTGTTGGTATTGGTCCATCCTTTTTCGATCATACTCAGATACAATTTGTACAACAGATTTTCTCCATCAGCCACATGAGAAGAATCAATGGTATCACACTTTTCCATATAACTGCAATGAAATGTAGCCAGGTCTAACAGTTATATTGGTATAACTTATACCAGAAATAATGCTTAAAATGTTCAGGATTTTATGTTAACTCTAGACTCGGAGAACACCTGTAAATGGCATTGTAACAAAAAGTCAAACAGTCATTCAGGAATATGTAAATAAAATAAATAGTAAGCTGTTTTAGAGGTTTAATTGGACAATAAAATCACTACCAGTATCACTAGTAAGTCATAACTGTAAGAAACTAGGCAGTAAGCTGCAGCGAAATGTCCACAATTTAACCGGACCATTAATATGTACAGGGGGGGGGCCAAAAGTCAGTACCCATACGTTGGCATTAATAGCTCGGTCACTGAGTGCCCAATTGAAATAATTCTTTCTGGTATGACTTATTACCACCACTGGTTCGAGGAATTTGTCAAATCGAAAAATATTCCTGTTAATTTTTTTCAAATGAAGGTTCATTTTCGCATTTATTTGAAAGTTTGGATAGTCGAATCAAGCCAAATATTATTGAATGGTGTTTGGTCATTTAAATTACATTTGTCCTGAAAAAAAGAGAGTTCTAGCTTTTCAGATGACTGAGATATGAAGCATAACGAGTTTGTTCATTACATGTGATCAGGTGATTAGGTTGAGAAAAGACAGTTTTTTTTGTTTTGAGAAAAGACAATTTTATTATCTATCACCAGTTCAATACACGATCAATAAATATACATCCGAATCAGTGGCGTAACTTAGGGCCCCGCAGACCCCGCTGTGCGGGGGGGCGCCGTATAAGGGGGGCGCAATTTTCCTGAATTTTAGGCCCTTTCACTGAAAAAACGCTTTGTTTGTGTATTTCCCTGTCCAATTTAGCGTTCGGCCGACGCGAAAAAAATATTTGGGGTACCCTTTTTTTGCTTCAGGGGGCGCAAAAAGCTGTAGGGGGGTGAGAAAAAAAGTACCCGACCTTTTTTTTTTTTTTTTTTTTTTTTTAGGGACAAAAAATTTTAGGGGGGCGCTTTTCGTCACTGAGCGGGGGGCGCCAACAAGCAAAGTTTCGCCACTGATCCGAATAAACTTGATTTAAAAGAAAATGATACAAGTATGCTAGCAGCTAGCGTGCTTGTATTTAATCAATATACACGCTGTTAAAAAGGGTCTGACCACCAACCACACCGCCACTCACATTAGCACAGCTGGTGAAAGGACCCAGGCGCTATTAAAAGCTTTTATGAGCCCTGGTTGACTGCTGAGAGTGGCGACAGGTCTGACATTAATTTTGCATTAGTTTTTCTTATATTCCAGTAAAATTTAAGTTTTGAGTTATATGATTGTCATGCGATATTTAAGTCACAGCTGCTCGCAATACATTATTGCTTATAAAATTGTTAAATATGCTCGCTATATACTTAACTTTTAGATACCGCATGTACATATTAAGGCTATTGAGGCTAGATCCGCATTATTGGAATTGTGCAGAGAGCCAATTACGGTGTTGTAATTGGGTAATCATTGAGTACCCTATCAATTTTGCTAACGAGATAAACAAATTGCTTGATAACTTCGTCATTTTAAATCCGTTTCGCACCATCTTTTCATATTATATTTCAGATTAAATGACCTATTGCAATATGTTACAACGGAGTCTCTAACATGTTCACAAACACGAGTATAAGCAATTCAATGTTCATTGGGTGTGGCCCCCAAAAATCGAATTTTCAAATTTTGGTGACGGAATCCTCGAACAAGTAGGTACAGTATGCCATCTGGAAAGCAACAACTCTCAAATATAAAACAGGGCGGTGGTAAAAGACCCAACGTATGGGTACTGACTTTTGCCCCCCCTGTACATTGAAAGGTGTTGCCCACACTTATAACAGCGATGCGAAGCAGAGATAAAAAACACACATACTACCTTAGTCGGTAATATTATGGGGGGAAACTTATGGGTGTTAAAAATATGGACTGTTATAAATATGGTTCTTTGGCCCGAAATTCGACCCCCACAATTTTAACTGCAACTTTCCTTTCATGAAAAAATCTCAAATCAAAAATATTGATCAAATTTTTTTCACAATTATAACCACATTGCCGCTTTCACACCAAATTTAATATTTTTTTCATTAGATATCCAATTGAAATTGTTCCTAGTTAACCCCTCAAATTGAAAGGATGGGGGGAATAGTAGACAAATCAGACTTTTTGAACCAGAACTAGCTTCAATTCAGCAAACAATAGCGTAAGCATACTTCTAGACGTGAATGAAAGAAAAGTTAAAAGCATATTATGACTGGTATACCAAAAGGAACACCAAAATTTGACTCGGGGGTTAAATTATGGGGGGGGGGGGGGGGGGGGGGGTAAAAATATGGACTGTTATGAATATGGTTCTTTGGCCCAAAAAGGACCAAATTAGACACCCCATAATATTATCGAGTAAAGTATTGATAAAAAAACTAAGACAAGCTCTAGAAGTTTGAGATCAACATTGAACTATTGAAGTCAACTGCAGGCAACGACTGGCAACGGGAAATACAGCTTGATCAGACTTAAGTATGCTTCTTGATGAACAACGAAAGACATCAAACTTGGTTAAATGTTATATAACTTAATGCTACATGCCATATAATACTTTATAGACAATAACCTTCAATTATTATGTAATTGAACTGTGAACATAATCCCATCCCTTTCTCGCTTGTTTTTTCTTCCAATAACTGAATTATGATAGGATTTGACCTCTACCAGTATACATATTACAACTATAACAGTGAGTTGGCGAGTTGCATTCATACGATGTTTCAGGAAGCCCATGAGTCCGGCTTGTAATATGCAATTTTTCAGCATCATCTGTGGTAGCTGCACTGAAAGTATTTTAGCGTCTTGTGTTTGTACGTGTACATTCTATTCTTTGCTGTTTATTGTGTGTCATACTGCCGTATGTTATTTATGATATTTGGCTTTTGTAAATTGAGCGTAGATGGTTCCTTAACTTAACTGTTGTGCATGTTGACAACAGTGATTGTCATACTTATATTGACTGAAATGAGTTATTGATTGGATGAAATCATTGAAATGTCTTAGAATTTTTGTCCTGCTTGAACAAACCACTTCAAATAACCGTGATCGCATTTAATTTAATTTAAAATAAAAAATGTTAATTGGACTACATTATGATTATTTAACAAATATAACAAATCGCCGGGTTGATTATTGTTAATGGAATACTATATTTTTAAAAATTAAAATAAATTATACGTTTTTGATATTTTTGTCAGTTCTAATTTTGGAATCGGTGACGCGCGGCTCAAATTCATACAAATTAGTATAATGTGATTTGTTACATGTAAATTGTTATTACATATTATACCATTTACCTAACTTTATTCCTATTTCCCTCGCCCGTTCTCAGATCACGTTAGCCCAGATTTGATATTCATGTGACGTGAAAAAGTGCCGCGCACACGCGCCGCGCGAACATTATTTAAATTTGCACCTCACGGCTCACACTAAAAAATATTTTTTCGGTTTGCACACAATTTTATTTACTTGTGGACCAAGTCTATTATGTTAAATGAATGGAGAATGACAGCTGCCATGCTGATTGACGGATGTTACTCGTCTAAATTTCTTCGAAGTAGCGCGCCGCTTTCTTTTCGAAATGCCCGATGGCAAGTGCTACGAAGTAGCGCGCGCCGGGCCAAATCACAACCATGGTTGTAGCGCGATGCACTACTGGGTCGCGCCGCGCATCAAATAATTCTTCTCGCAGATCGGCGAAATGCGAAGGATTGACATCGTGAATTAATAACAATGGTCAACCACAACAGGTATTAAATTTGAATTCTTGCAGATGTAGGTTACTAGTGTGTGATTGAGGTTCGGTATTGTGATTGCAGCAATTTTGAAATGTATTTTGGAAAAAAAAGTAATATGCTAGTGTTACAGACTTAGAACGTTTACATACTCCGGCCGTATTCCTGGAGTTAATCCAGACGTTTGGAAAGCAGTGGCTGGGACTAGAGACGCACAAATCTAATATATAACAAGGTCTATGCTAGACTTGGGAGGCGAAGATCAAATGTCCATCTGCATCAAACAGACTGGAACCTTTTATTCTCCAAAAGTTCAAGATGTCATGTGTAAAATACAATTACAATTGTAAAAGATTAAAAAAAACTACCCGAAGGCAGCTGTACTCGTCAATAACGATTTAATAAACATCAGCTAATTGGTTACTGGGCCGCGCTCAGCCTGTCATTCCGCCTAATCTCTATGTTTATGAACATGATAGCCTAATTGGACTCTAAGTCTAATATAACTATAACGCGCCCGTATCCCGAAATACTAGGTCATAGGTATCGACCCGAACTCAACTCAAAAAGATTTTGACTGCATCTGATTGATGTAATTAATCGAAACTTATTACAATTCGTAAGCCGTGAATGAATGGGAAAAGCGAGCGATCGATTTCATTCTCAGTATCATTTTGCATTTGTTGACGGTCATTCAAATTTATATCATTTACTTTTGTTTGGGAAAGAGAGACACTGGTAGCGGTCCACTCTACCCAACTATGAGTTTTGGTCAAATTTAACTATTATAGCTATATTCAATTTCGTGATTAAAATAGTTATACTTATAGTTTACCAGGCGTGTCTGTCTCTATGGGTGGCGCTCTTTTCGAGACCCTGCATACATATACGTGAGAGGAGCGAGCAATTAACTATAGCAAGCTAGGTAAACTACTACTACTACTACTTAGCAAGCTAGGTAAATTAATAGTATTTCAAACAATCGGAAATAAAACTCGTTATTTAAAGTTAAATCAATGTGAATGCTACTATAATTATAAAGGTTGAATAAAACACATGATGAATGTATGTAAGTACATAACCATCATTATCATTAGCAAAATTGGTTTCGTGTTTTTAATACTGCATGCACGATCTCACAAGCTAATCATTTAGCGATCTTCAATATGAATAAATTAAAACGTAAAACTAAAAGTGAAATTTAGCATAAAACAATGGGAATAATAAAAATTGAAAAGCAGTCCTACGCTACCTACTGTCATTTCATAGTGCTACTATAAAGCTCTCGCAGTCATTTGCTCGTCTAGTTCACTGTCCATGAGTGACCTCCTGAAACTCATTTCCTATCATATCGTCGTGTCTCATCTTCACATCATCATCTGCAACACCTCAATAATCTGTGTAACTCTTTTTCGAACAGTCCTTCATTTCGTCGTTAAACTACAAAACTAGTTTATAGTTTAACACATCTCTTCCTTTTTCAAGTGTCCAGATCCTTGTTTCCTCTACAGATCCTATGTTGGATTTGAACTGGTTGACGAGTTGCTTGATGTAGCTGCTGTCGGAGGAGTAGCCCGAACTACTTCTCGTTGTGCTCGTGCTGTCTTGAGATGGTTTCCTCAGTTCCTTCGTTTCGGCTTGCAACTTCTTCTTCAGGTCAAGGTCCATGCCACTCTTTCTTCTGCTTGCGATGTAGTAAGCCTGCTTGCAGAGACCCATCTTATCCAGGACAAAGAGGAAGTCCTTCTTGAATCCAGCTCGAGAGAGTGAGTATAGGAATGGGTTAGCGCAGGCGTTCAGAGGCAGGAAGAAAACGACAAGGATCTTAGCGTTAGAGGTCGTTATCAGTGGCTTCTCTAGGGCGGCGCTGACTCCACAAACCACGATAGGCAACCAACACAACACGTCTGTTAGGATAATCAGTGCCATCCTCAGAGTTTCACGGAAATCTGCGTTATCCAGCGGCTTTTGGAGGTGCCTCACGTTGCAGAATATCTGGAAATGATAGGCCATGATAAATATGTATACACGTTTGTGTCAACAATTTACATCACTAATCTTCGATAAGATTAAAACTTTAAAAGTGAGATTATGTTGAGATTATGTTGATTAGCGCACAATTTGTGCTTCATCATATTCTGTGCTTATGTATATTGTATCTGTACTTCCGCTATTCACGACATTGCAGTGAAATGGTCTGCACAGAGGCCGTTATGGAAACGTCTGACAAAGAACGGTCGACATACGATTAAAAGTCTCCCTTACTTTTCAACACGTTGAAACAAGAACAAAATATAAAGCTGAGACAATTAGAAGTTCACGTCTGTTCGGTACGTGTTTAAAAGTAACTTCGCAAGTGTGACCTCGAGTCGTAGACAGCAAGGAGACACAGTTCCGTCACGCACAATGAACTCCTTCAAACGGGCGGAACAAAAGTGTTTTGTCGCGGAACAGTACGGAGTGTTGATTGTTGACATGCTTGCAAATTGGGGAGCTAATTTTGCTGACATTTTGGCCGAAGAAAGGGTTAACAAGGATACAAAGGTGAAAATAAGAAAACGTACCGTGAGATAGCAGTAGATGATAATAGTGACAGCGATTGTGTTTATCACCATCAGGGACAGTATCAGAGCCAGACTCTTTCCATCACCAGTCTGAAAAAGGTCGTGATTAGTTTGAGCTGTACAAAGAGATTCGCAACCTTGTATGGCTAGTTAGAATTTAAATAAACGCGGGCAGCAACAATTTCGATGCTGTATTACTATTAGCCAAAGTACAACTACCTTATCGGTCATAATTATCACGGACATTACTTTAACGCTGAAGACCTTAGCGTGAATAATTAAGTCCGTGAAAATAATGTCTGTGGCATTAAGGTCCGTGAATAATAAAGTCCGGTAGTTATTTCCATTAATTTTAGTGTGTGTGAGTCCCTATATATGCGTATTGCGTACATATGTGTGTAGCCGATTACCATATTAGTTTATTAGTATGCTAGGACTAATATCAAATATAATCACTCCTCAGTCACATTCTAGGGTACAGAAAAAGGGTAAACCACGTATTAAAAATCACCACAAATTTTCACAATTTTTGGACATTTTTGGGCGGTCATGAGTGTGAATAATTATGTCCGTGAAAAATTTGGGCCGTGAAAAACTTGTCCGTGACAATTATGTCCGATAAGGTAGTCGGCACCACGACTACATTTCTAAGCTATTGCCAAGTTTTTGTACACAGAAAACGAACAATGAAGGTCAAGCTGGAGGTATTCATGACCGAAATATAGACCCAGGAACGCGTTCTTTACATGTCTTTTAAAACTTTAAAATACCAACGGGCCAGTTTATAATTTATTCAATAGTTTATTCAGGAGCTGGCCAGTATTTTAGGCTATCCTTACATATCTTTACATGACAAATATAGTTTTTCCATCGGCAAAATCGGACAGTGTAAAGTTGTACTATCCTGCAACTTTGTCATTAGCCACAGTTGCAGTTTTTGGTGCTCATCTAAGGGAGGGTGACCTTTCGGCCTCAACCAATACTGGTATGTGCGTACCTAATACTGAAAACTAGTGGTCAAAATGGCGCCCTCGCTTTGTAACATCGGTCTGGATGGAAAGCACGAGGCCATTTTGATGATGCACTGAGTTTTAAAGTACTTAAATTTGAGAATATCAAAGACATTTTATGCATTTGTAATTTGTAGATATCAAAGACATTTTATGCATTTGTCGACCAAAGTTTATTTTCAATACCTGTGAAGGAAGGCAGAATGCCACGAGGCTGTAGTCAGAAAATCCGAGAAGTGGAAGAGCGCCGGCTGTAGCAGAGATAATCCATCCAATCAGCTGAAAGAGAGCTTGGTTAGAGAACACGTGGGATGATCAGTTAAAAAAAGAGAGGCTAGGCCTAACCTAGGTAACCTAGCAACAGTAACCTGGTGGCCCACGAGAGGATAGCATGGGGATGCTCTGTCTGCCTCTGGGACATGGCAATCCTGGTGGAGATTGCCGGAGAAATCAAAGTGAATAGTGAAGGATGGTGTTATGAGGGGAGATGAGTCATAAAGGAACGCTTTAGTGCCAGCTGGGTGTGGAAAAGAAAAATGGGCTAAGACAACGTGTGAGTAGTCTCTCTGTCACGCCGGTCTGGTCCAGCTCCTCTGGCACAATTAAGCGTTTGGTGCGGTTTGCGAAATTGACAATAGTGGAGATGTTTTGGTTGTCGAATCAGATCAGTTTGTAATGGTCCTAGTTGAGGTGTGGTCCTACACACAAGTGTAAAATGGCGCACTCTTGTGTGGTCTGTTGAGGATTGATGTGGTATAAGACAGTGTGCTTTGTGGTGTGTTCTCTTAGTGGTGTTAGTGGTGTTAGTGGTGTTAGTGGTGTTAGTGGTGTTAGTGGTGTTAGTGATGTTAGTAGTGTTAGTGATGTTAGTAGTGTTAGTGGTGTTAGTAGTGTTAGTGGTGTTATTAGTGTATTCTGTTAGTGGTGTTAGTTTGATGTCTGGAGAGTGGTTTATCAAGGTGGCGGGGAGGATGTTGTTAAACTGTAGCTATGTCAACAGTTAGTCGTCACAGAAAGAGAGAAAAAGGGGTTCTGGCTCTACTCTGCTCCAAACAGACAGCTGAAGTGTGAGTGGTTACAATGTGTTGACTGTTGCTATGGTAACCACGTGACATGTTAAGAATGCAGAGTGTCAACACCCCCAGTTTAAATGTTTCGAGTGGTGAAATTTCTACGACTTGACTCCAGACAATGGTGCAGTCTGTTTAAATCTGCCAGTTTCACGGCTTCGTTCACCCAGCTTGCAGTTACCCCACCATGGCAGCAAGTTAGAGAACATGGCAAATGTTACAGCGGGAAACTAATCGTTGCGCGGAAAAATCAGGTCCAGCCTAAAGTTTGGAACCGAACGTTTAAAGCCTGATATTCTTAAACACCGTGTACTGTGTAGTCAACAGTCAAAAAGTGTTTGTTTATTGAAGGTAAATAGGGAAAATATAACGAGTCTGAAGACATAGAAGCTTTGTGCAGCGAACAAAGAACTGACAATAGTTAGATTCTCTGTTCGTGATAATATTTCGAAAGTCTCGCCACCCCAGACAATTAGTCATGAAGTTATGGACCACCTTACTAACTTTTTCACGGTTGCCGGTTCCGTGGTATTTGGCAAAGGTTTTTTTGAGTGGATGCCAATTTTACAGAAGTTCTGCAGCAAAATCACGTTTGCAATTTCAACACCGATGAGGATCGTTTTTAGAATGGGGTGGCATTGAAAAAAAGCGGGACATGATTTTTAAAATCACTAAGTTCCACAAATTCTCGGTAGAAAGCAGCCCGAAAACTTCCCACTAGTATTTTTACTGAGCTCACGAGGAAAACTTGCTAAATTCCTTTGCCTGAACCCTAAATTCTATTTATCATACCATGATAAATGAATAATCGAATAAATCTATGATATATTTTCGTAAAATTAGCATGCGTTATTTGTCCCCCGCATACCCACGGCACCAGGCATCCTACCGGTGAGCACTCCTCAAAATAACCATGTTACTAGGGTTACTATTCCGTTACTAACCATAGCAAATGCAATGTGGCGGGTTTTAAGGTGTTTGTAGGGGTTGGAATAGTGGATAATCGTGACCATCCTCTCCACGCTGATCACTGTTAGTGTGAAGACTGACAACTCGCTGCTAAACGTCACCATGAACCCTGCAATCTGGAGATTGGGACACTGGTTAGTGGGGATATGGAAATTGGGACACTGGTTAGTGGGGATATTGAGATAGGGACACTGGTTAGTGGGGATATAATCCTGCAATCTGGAGATTGGGACACTGGTTAGTGGGGATATAATCCTGCAATCTGGAGGTGGGACACTGGTTAGTGGGGATATAATCCTGCAATCTGGAGGTGGGACACTGGTTAGTGGGGATATAATCCTGCAATCTGGAGATTGGGACACTGGTTAGTGGGGATATAATCCTGCAATCTGGAGATTGGGACACTGGTTAGTGGGGATATAATCCTGCAATCTGGAGATTGGGACACTGGTTAGTGGGGATATTAAGATTGGGACACTGGTTAGTGGGGATATTGAGATTGGGACACTGGTTAGTGGGGATATTGAGATTGGGACACTGGTTAGTGGGGATCTAATCCTGCAATCTGGAGATTGGGACACTGGTTAGTGGGGATATAATCCTGCAATCTGGAGATTGGGACACTGGTTAGTGGGGATATAATCCTGCAATCTGGAGATTGGGACACTGGTTAGTGGGGATATTAAGATTGGGACACTGGTTAGTGGGGATATTGAGATTGGGACACTGGTTAGTGGGGATATTGAGATAGGGACACTGGTTAGTGGGGATATTGAGATAGGGACACTGGTTAGTGGGGATATAATCCTGCAATCTGGAGATTGGGACACTGGTTAGTGGGGATATAATCCTGCAATCTGGAGATTGGGACACTGGTTAGTGGGGATATAATCCTGCAATCTGGAGATTGGGACACTGGTTAGTGGGGATATTAAGATTGGGACACTGGTTAGTGGGGATATTGAGATTGGGACACTGGTTAGTGGGGATATTGAGATTGGGACACTGGTTAGTGGGGATCTAATCCTGCAATCCGGAGATTGGGACACTGGTTAGTGGCGATGTGGAGATTGGGACACTGGTTAGTGGGGATATAATCCTGCAATCTGGAGATTGGGACACTGGTTAGTGGGGATATGGAGATTGGGACACTGGTTAGTGGGTATATAATCCTGCATTCTTGAGATTGGGACACTGGTTAGTGGGGATATGGAGATTGGGACACTGGTTAGTGGGGATATAATCCTGCAATCTGGAGATTGGGACACTGGTTAGTGGGGATATGGAGATTGGGACACTGGTTAGTGGGGATATGGAGATTGGGACACTGGTTAGTGGGTATCTAATCCTGCAATCCGGAGATTGGGACACTGGTTAGTGGGGATATGGAGATTGGGACACTGGTTAGTGGGTATATAATCCTGCATTCTTGAGATTGGGACACTGGTTAGTGGGGATATGGAGATTGGGACACTGGTTAGTGGGGATATAATCCTGCAATCTGGAGATTGGGACACTGGTTAGTGGGGATATGGAGATTGGGACACTGGTTAGTGGGGATATGGAGATTGGGACACTGGTTAGTGGGTATCTAATCCTGCAATCCGGAGATTGGGACACTGGTTAGTGGGGATATGGAGATTGGGACACTGGTTAGTGGGGATCTAATCCTGCAATCTGGAGATTGGGACACTGGTTAGTGGGGATATTGAGATTGGGACACTGGTTAGTGGGGATATTGAGATTGGGACACTGGTTAGTGGGGATATAATACTGGTTACTAAAAATTTGACTATGGACATTGTGGCTTGTGCATTGCAAAGTACTGCAGTACTGCAGTAACCATGGTTACAGGGCAGGATTAATAAACTGATCACCCTGTGTTTCAAAACATTTACATAAGTTTTCTTTTCTTGTCGAGCAACTTGCCAAATACGTCACTTATTCAGAAGGGAGTTGCTTTAACCTCAAAAAGCCGACACACCTTAGCTACAAATTCTACAGAACCAGAGAATCAGGGGCCCTTTAGTATGGCCTAATTGCAAAGTTCTGATTACTGGCTCCACCTTGTGTCTAGTGGCACTGCGTAATACCTCTGTCTCGCCACTCCAAACAGAGGGAGGGGTGATTCCCAGAGGACAAACATTACCTGGCCACTATTCAGGGTTTTCAGTGTTCATATATCATCAGTTTTAGCATTAAGGACAGGTGCTGAGTTACCACATTAACTACCACTACCGGACAACTTCATAACTCAACTACAACCAACAAAACGTTAAAGTTTACCTTGCAGCCGGCTCCATTCTGCCAGTCCATAGCAAAGTCTTCGTAGAGACCATAGGTTTTAGCGTCCACAATAGCGAGCATCATAAGGTAAATACCAGTGAAGAGGTCCGAGAAGGAAAGGTTCATTATTAGGAACCGGGTTGGGGTAAACCTGAGGAAGGGAGGTTATAGCTTGTAAACTAAATCATGCTTAGACACGTGACAGAAACCGAGGTTATAGCATGCAGCATATGATCAAAACAATCTCCTTGTCATATATTACTCGTTAATTTACTTTGATTTAAACATCAAAAGGGTGGTTAAAAGATTAATTGTTCTAGAATAAGAAATTCAGGAACTAAGATAAACAAGAAGGTTAGGTTACCGATGGTGAGACCCAAATCTGCTTGCGTAAAATGCTCCCAGCTATTTTAACGCTGATTTAATAAATTGATAATCGCGAAAATTCTATCGATCGTGATTCTGTCGCAAACCAGTATCACATTTCCCATTTTGTTCGCCAAAAAAATACATAGGTACTTGAAAATCCGATTTAAAATTATATTTACTTTTTAGTGGATAAGATGGTGATAGTAAAAAGAGTCAAGTTGCCCAGCACAGCCAAAGTGCAGACGATCCAAACACCCATCCTTAGTACCCAGTTCCCAATTAGGTCTTCACAGGGATTAAACTCGTCGGGTTGCGGAGTGCAATGTAGCTGAAACACAGACTTTGTAATTTTCCGGTACCTGCCAATTCCTACTGCCTCTTTGCTGAGCAGGGGCCCAAAAAGGATTCATAATTAAGCTTCAAGGCTCTGGTGCGCAAAAGGAAGCCAAAATAAGCTGCAAATATTGTACAAAAAATAGAATACAAAGCAAGAGAAAGAAACCTCGTCAGTAATTGGAGCTAGTTTTAGTATAGTGCCGTTATCACCTTCTTTATCCAGCTCCTCGAAGTTGATAACTGTTACATCCCCGAACTTCAAATACGCTGCAGGGTAAAACTCTATTACGTGGGTTATTACAGACTATAAAACACGTGACCTCTCCTACCGGTCTTCCCAGTCATCACTTTGAAGTAAACTCCCCGCCTACAAAGTCACGTTTAGTGAGGAATACAGAACACAATATTACTTGGTGTGGGGGTCCAGGTCAAATCAGCAGCGTCCCTCTTGGGCCGGGGTGGCTGGGTGGTGGTGGCGGAGGGTAAAGGAGACGTTGTCATGGTCATTGCAGTGTGAGTCGACCAGCTGGCACTGCTCTTTAGTTCTAGTAATCTGTCGCTGTAGAACTGGAAATCAGTTGTTCCGGTTATGTAGGTGGGGGTTATGTAGGAGCTCGTACCATCCTCTCCTCCCTTCTCTGTGATTAAAACTAACTAAGATTAACTTATGTAGAATGTAGATACATAATCCTATTAAGGTTGCGTCTCATTTCTCATCGAAGAGCACAAATAAGTGGAAATACAGATTACTTGTGATGAAGGGAAATTTTGACCAAAAACAAATAAACTGAGAATTTGTTTACGCAAATCAGCGACAAATTCAATATCTTTGTAATAAATGAATGAAAATGCTTACTGGGTTGTTTGATGGCTGTAATAAAGGTTGCTTTATAATCGATTGGAGCTTCATCCTTCCAGTGTCCAGACACAAATTTCCCGGTAGTTGTTTTATCTTCTTTCTTTTGGGAATTCCTTCTTGACGAAGATAATGATGTCATTATCAGAATAAGCGTCACTTGGAAATGATACAAAGCTCTCTCTCGAAAAATCGGGGGATCGTTTACTTGTTACTGTTACGTAACCACAGAATATGGTTTCAACCGATGACAAGTTTTAAAAACCAGATTCGACGTCACTAGATGCCACAGGAACGAAACCCTGGCCCACCCTCTTAATTAAATGGACAGGTGACTTTGATCACGGAATTTTAAAGTATAAGTTAAAACAGCTCACTTGATTTTCTTGAACCAGCAGCACATGACAGGAAAGGGAACGGTGGCTCTTCTCAGAGCATCAAGACCCTGACGCGGCAGTTTGGAAACCAATTTAACGTTACCTGCAGAAATTAAAGAGATTATAGAACGGCCGGTGAGATTTAGTCTATGAAATATTTTCCTCACAATGTGCTTGGTAGAAATTTTTGCGCTTAATCGTAATTCCTTTCTATACACTGACTCAGGTGATAGTTAAGCTAAGTAAGTGCTTAGAAGGAGATATTATTAACAAATATTTTTGTAAATTTACACGTGTTGATTAAATATCCAATCAGTGAATTACAATTTTTATTGCCGTTAAAAATTATCGTGTCATCAATTCCTGTGCCCGAAAAGTGAAGCCTTTTTGACAGGCATAGTCCAGAAATTATTGTCATCTAATCAGAAATAATGAGAAAGTAGAAGTTAAGAGTGGAAATCAGGACAGCCGGACTGCAAATAGTCAGCTTAGCGTGACCAAAATCACATTTTCGTGTCTCTTTACGGAATTCATACTGCCATGTATACTGACAAGTCTATCCCAAAATAAGAAGAATTACCTACCCTCCAGTTTAAGAGTATCCACGGCAGAGAGCCCAACATGAGACAGCTCCTCGAGATCAACGTTAAAACTGAGGTCCAGGAACCTCAGGGTCCCAGCCAGTCCGGCGAGGGTTTTGTTGTTGAAGATGGTGAGCTTGTTGTTGGAGAGGATGAGAGTTGTCAGTGCTGTCTGATCGAAGAAGTTATCAGGGACGTGGCTTATGCCGTTACTCCCTAAGTCTAGCATGGTGAGAAACGAGTTCTCAGATAATTCCAGCTCTTCTAAGGATGATATCTTGTTTCCCTCAAGATGGAGTCGGTCAATTTCGGGCATCAGTTTCAGAAGTCCTTTCTCAATCCATTCAATTTTGTTATGACTCAAGTCTCTGGAAAAGAGGAAATTGTGAGTTTCTGTGAGAAAAGTGAATTCGTAATTAATTCATAATTAATTCATAATTAATTACCAAACAATTGTCCATTTAAACAGGCCCTGGTAAAATGTGAAACTTAAACCATATGACGTAGTACAAAGAGTAAACAGTAGCACGACACTTACAGATCTTTCAGACGACCAGCAGACTTGAAGTGTTTAGCAGGGAGCCTGGATATTTCGTTATCAGAGACGTAGAGAAGGAGAAGAGATGTCGAACAGTGGGGTGGTTCAGTCAGCTTGTTTCCACTAACGTCCCTAGTGTACCAGAGGTTCATGTTGATATTTCGATAAGGTTTCTGTTCAGTTATTAAGATTTGATATTGAAATTGTCTCTGATTTCGCGGTTAGTGAAACTTTATTTCGAAATTATAAGCGTTAGTTTAATGTTATGGAATTTCGCAACGATTTATTATTAACGATTTTTGTTTTCGGTGAATGAATTCGAATATGTCACTTCGAAATATTTTGAAGTTTCACCCAAAGCTTCGGATCTTTCCAGTTAATCGGAGACAAATAAACTTGACGTGGCAAAAAAGTCGCGATAAGTTGACGGTCATTTACGAATATTTCTCGCTTGTCATGAAATCTATTAGTATTTTATTCTCTGGAAAAATATTTGAAGCTACAGTTTGGATGAAACAGAGGAAATTTTTAGTCACTCGTATGCGATTCGTTAAATCTAAGAAATTTTGCTTTTTAACTTATTAAAGTTGTAGGGTATTTGTTGTTAAAACAAGTCCTTAAATTCATTTAACGCAGAAATATAGCCTGTCACAAGTTATACCAGCCTTCAGTAGTCGATCAGTTTTCTCTGCAAAATATTTCGGGAAATCGTTAGAAGGAACAGGAAATAGAAAGAAATAAGGGTCTGCCCGACTAAACTTACAGTTCGTGAAGGTTCGGAAGATGCCTGGACGGTAGGACTAAATGGTGAAGTGAGTTATGTTGTAGATATAACGTCTCCAGCTGTTCCGTTTTTCTCAAACTTGTTTCAGTTAGATTCTTGATAGAGTTCCCGCTTAGATCTCTGCAAAGAAAGGTGTCGAATTATTACAAGATTTTACAGCGTGGTTTGAGTATTTGAATGATTAAAAGATTTATTTTAAGAACTTTTTAAAGGTGAATTATCAATGTTATTATGTAATAATTTCTAGAGATTTAAAGATGGGTCGTTTTTGTGGGTGCAACATTTTATCTTTATATTCGGGGAACAAGCTCACTATACTAATTCAGCTCCTGGTTTAAATTAGATTCTGCTTCAATCTAACAGCCATACTTTCAAGTTACAACACTGAAAGACTTACAATTTTAATTTTCATTTTTATACTTACAATTTTCGAAGTAGAGGTAGATCAGAGAAACAGTGATCCGGTACATATGAAATAGAATTCTCGGACAGTTGCCTGGTGGGAAAAGCATTGTTATAGTGGAACAGTTCGGATAAGATATTAAAGAGGTTTTGAGACGTCTGTATTACCGCATTAGTTTCAATTTGTATTACCTCCTTGAAGGTGTGAGTATTCGAACGATTAAAAGATTTATTCTATCCCAACAATTACGATCAATACTCATGATTACTCACAGATAATTAAGTTGGGGAAACATCTCAAAATCTTCCTTACAGATGGTGTCAATCGAGTTTTGGGCCAGGACCCTGAAAGATAATCAAAATTAGAGTTCATACTTAGAACCCGAAACTTTCATCATAGTCTCTAATCATTCAGGACCAGGTATTAGACTGTATAAGTGAACAAGTGAAAAAGGGAGATAAGACCCCTGTGCTGAGCATGGCCGGAGGCCCCTTGAGTCGGACAATGTGGGAGTAGTTTTCCTATTGGTAATGAGTTTGGAAGTTCGGTCTCAAACTTAATAATATGTGGATTGTGGAACACTGCTGCCGTGTTATCTCCAACAATTATCACCAAGCTTCTGTTTATGCAGCGAATTCATGACCGACCCGGTCAGAGTCTGAAACATTTGTGTATGTGGGAGAATTCTTTTAACATGCATTCTATTTAAATATTAGAGGGATATATAGGGGAGAATAGTGCGTGACTAAAGTCGAAGAACCCCTGGAGTTAGAGAAACGTAGGTAGTTGCGGACAATCGGTGTGAGCACTGTGTGGGCACTGTGTGGGCACTGTGTGTGCACTGTCTGGGCACTGTGTGGGCAGCTGTGCAACTCTAAACCACTTTATCGGGGAAGAACAGGCCCTGCCACAGTTACAATTTAATCCGTCTACTTGGAGCTCTGTCATCAGACATGAGCTCGTTCTATGTTTCCCAATTCAAATTATTTTCGTATGCAACGAATAAGGTGAAGAAAATACTGATCCGCGGCCAGTAATATCCCCTTGTAATAAATGTAACCTTCGTAATCCCAGACCACGGGACCAACGTATTTGGTCAGTGTAACTCACTAAGAAAATCCGCCAAACTAGCGATGGTGGCCAGGTAGTCTTACAGTGAGACACCTCTGTACTCTGCACACACAGACACAGGCTTCTTGTAAGCACGTTATCACTTTTGACGAGCAAAGATTCCATTCCTTAAGCAGAGTGTGGCAAGTGGATGCTGGAAATGAAGTAAGCGCGAAAGTATGCAGTGCGATTTTGGCGTTCACGCTAAATTCCTGATCCAGGCACATGTGTAATTAAATACATACTTGAAGAAAATATGTGCCAGAAAAAGTAAATGTATGATCTATACTCACAGAACCCGTATTGCAGAGCGGGTGTTTGGGGGCTGGTTTTGGGGGAAATGTCCGATCACGTTGGAAGCCATCGTACTGAAAATAAAGGATCATCATTTTACCATCCGTACGAAATAGACGTTGGAAAACGCTCTTATAGGTTGAGCTAGTGACTAGACTCGTTACTTTTTCGTTGTTTTTAGCGGTAACTAAGTTGCACTTTACTGAGGATTCCTCTGAAAATCAATAGACCTATTCAATTATTTCAACACATGCATTTATGATTTGTGGCTTCAATGAGCACAAAACATACAACTACCAAGCAGAACATATAACTCACCAGTTCTCCAAGTTTTCATACTGTAAAACATTGTCGAAATTCTGCAGTCTATTCTTCTCGATAGACCTGGTTGGGGGGTTGTCATTCGGGTTAGAAAGAACTTTCCATTTGCAGGTGTTGATATGCATTTGGATTTGTTTAACTATAAATATTATTGTTAATAGTAAAGTATGACGTGACTAAGATCGTATTAAACTGAGCAGCGCAGAAAAAAATTATTATGGAATCGCTAAAACGGGGAGTTACACACTTACAGGGAGAGAAGAGAGGTTTTGAGGTTGTTGAGTTCGGGCACTTCCGTCAACTTGTTACTTCCAAGTGATCTGAAATACCGGATGTTTTATTACTGCCAAGAGAAATGTCAGATAAACTTAGTGTAGATAACAGGTTATAGGCCTGTGCGACACCCAATCGCCTAGTGCGCGGTCTTCAGTTTAATAAATTAACCTTTTAAATAAAGTGGTGGAACTTCTGAGAAAAAAGTTTAAACAGTTAAGACCTTGTGAGTTCAGCTTAGCTTGTTTATGTCATACCCAGGATAGGAAACGGATTATTTGTTCATGCATTAACTTTCGAAACCGCCGTTGGGTTTGTAAATTTAGGCCTAAGTGGCCAGTTTGTGAGCGTGGGAAAGGAGAAGATTTAGACTAAATCAACTATTATAGTAACAGAGTAGTGATAAAACTTACAAATGAGAGATGGAGGGGGACAGAGCATCTTCATGAATCTTCTCTATGGAATTGTACATCAGGGTCCTGAAAAAGGGATTTCTGTCAAATCAAGTCATGTTGAACAAATCATTACACATTGAGCAGGTTTTTAGTTGGAATCATATTAGTACCATAGCATGTCTGGTCTTGTTGTGTTCAAAAGAATACTAAAATCAGTGCAGTATATTGGTGATTGGTCACAGAAATCTAAGTTCTAAAATTTCGGAGAATTCCAGACATTGAGAATTGTCCCGTGAAATTCCATGATTGTTCTGGTTTGTTGTATATAAGATTTCTACTGCAGATGGATATTAAAATGTTGTCACAAAGTCCCGCCAAATCTGTGCGTTGTTATGAATTTCAAAGTTTAAATATTTTCTATCGGTGATAACTTTTTATTTACTGTGGTTTGTGGTTGATAGCTATTGATCCAATATAAGTGAAGTGGTATAAAAATGAAATATTTGATCTAACGCAGCGACTTTACCACAAATTAATTGCAGATGAGTAGAATATCACTATTCCAACAATATTTATACAATTAAGGTGTGGACTTTCAAATCGAGTGAGTGATTGCGTTCGTGGTGCCATCTAATTTAGGATTGCTTAAGTACCGTGTCGACGATGATCTACCTGGTGGAAACTCTGAACTAATGAACTACAAGCTTGCTAAAACGAACACCTCTCTGAAGGCTGCTTAATCCTCCGGCTGATTTGCGTGCCATTCCAGGCTAAATATAACTCGTGAGGGTAGCAGTAATATCTCGCACTCTCATGTTAGAAAAAACGCACGCAAACGTTAGCATGTCCAGGTGAGGTAATCAATGAGATCAGCTAGGTTTTATCACATATTCTTACAACGAGGAGGGACTGAATAGGGGTTCAGCTACCAAGTTTAGAGAAAATAGTGTCGGGATTATAACGATTAACCTGTTAAGCTGTCACCGTCTGCTGGTAGGAACCTTCAACTTTGTGTGTGGCGAACGCGAATGTGTTTATAGTACCATGACAAATTGAAATTCTTCCAATACTTCCAAAGAGACAGAACTGTCCCGGAAACTTACAGTACTTTGAGATCTGGTAAGTTGTTGAGATCTTGCTGGTGCAGAACTGTTAGCTGATTGAAGTCCAAGTACCTGAAGCAGAGGAGCGGTTATTGAGGTAAATCCTTTGAGCTTGGGCCACTGTTTTAAACTCCAGTTACCCTCTATTCTTGAGATATTACTGTAGACAGTTGTTTCACCCAGTTAGTAACCCCTACAACCCATCCAGTCTATAAAAACTAAAATTATAAGATGGTTAAAGAAAAGTTAAACTTCAATTTAAACATGTTTAAGGGCGCTCTGTTGAAATGCGCGCGTCAAAAGGAGCAGTAAGACCTCGGTCACACAGACAGAGTGACGACTAAGGACATGGAAGCTCTGCTAGCTAAACTCAGGTCATCCTAGGTAGAGTCCTTAGTTGTTGTGGAGAGGTTATTTTTAGATCCCCGTACTTTTTAACTGTGTTACTTCACTTAATGAGAGAGGGTGGGGATTTAGGGACTGTCACTACAAACAAAGGGTTTTGTGTTTACAAGTAGCAGCAAAACATCCGCAGCAAACAAAGAGTTTTGCTGAAAACTTGGCACCGAGTCCCTCTAAACAAGGACAGAAAGTTATCAACAGAGAATTAGTGTAACAGAAATATCATAATAAAGTACTAACAGGCTGCTGAGGGTAGGGTTAGAAAAGTTGTTAACTCGGGAGACTTGGTTGTAAGTCATGTCCAGGATAACAGATGAGGAGCTGGATATGTTGGGTAAGTTCGTCAGTTTGTTTCCCTTGAGCTTCACGATGTTTACTGACGGAAACTGGTCGAAGAATCCCTCGGCGATGAGCTCGGTTTGACAATCGTTGAGAGTCCTGGTGAGGAGTGGTATTGTGAGACTAAGGGGTGTAATCACTGGCACAGCTGCCAGTTACCCGGAACTAGGAAAACTTGACTTGATAACTGGGATATCTCACGATAGCTGCCAGCTCCGAAGAACGATGGCTATCGTGTTGTATTGTTATCATTCGCCACTTCATTATTTGACACAGCACGAGATTCAAACTCTTCGCAGAAACTTACAAGGATAAAAGATCTTTGTATATTTTCCCGCCATCTTTTTGTTTCAGGTGGGTGATTCGGTTTCCAGATAAATCCCTGAAATATTATATTGTTTAGAACGATATAAGATGTAAACATGAACAACTAACTGACATCACCTTATGCGTCCAGTTATTAAACATCACTATAATATATAGCGGGGCCAGAATTTCTCACAAATATTAGAAAGATGTTTTAACTCAGGCCATGAGGCCACCCGGCCTTAACTAGCACTTGAACAATAAGATGTAAACATGAACAACTAAGTGACATCACCTTAAGAATCCCCGATTGAGATATTTAGCATGGTCAAAACTTCCCAAAGACTACCAAGGCCAAGCTGTTTTAACCTTGAACTATGTCCAAGGCCTTTAACCGGTACAATAAAGAGTTGCATTTGCTTTGAAATATCCCTTTGAGGGAGATCAGCCTAAGAAATTCCCTAAGATGGACCTTAAAAGTTTCAAACAATCAGACAAACGGACTCTAACCACTTGCTACCAACAAACAAGAAGCCGAAATTCCCATAATTTAGGTCTTCATCAGTTCATGACGGTCTTCATCAACCAGTTCCGCTCCCCTAGAACCACTGTAGAGGTACACAGTACAACAAGTACACAATACACACGGGGCGTCCGGGAGGCGCCCTCCTACTCTACTGTTAACACTCTCTATAACTCTCCACAACTTCAAACAGTGGGCTGCCCTCTTAAGAGAGATAAGAAACAATGTGGCCATGAGAATGACACGAGCCGAGAAGACCCACAGGGCCTGAAACAAGTTCTTATCAGTGGTGTGATGACAAGTTGTGGGGGCCGGGGAGCGAGGTGGGAGAGGCGGGAACAGCGCACGTGTACAAACAATGGAGACCAGAATACAGACGATTTGAGGACAGAGTATTTACAGTATTTCAACTGTTAGACTCAATTTATGGTTGTTATTTATTCAGCAAGATATTGGGAGTTAAATTCAGGGGACTCGGGTCCTGGATCGAAGGATAATATCCTGAAACTTTGCTCCCATTCTTTTTTCCGTTTATCATAGCATATCGCTAAAATTGCTGTAACAGCTCTTAGTACCTGTTTCTAAAAATAGAAATGTTGGCGAAGGTTAATTTGTGATAAATTGGCGGACAGAAGGGTATTCAGAGTAATTACCTGCTGAATTACTACCTGACAAGTGCAGTGTATGTACCATATTAGAGGGTGTGCAGTTTTAACTGAACTCTATACAGGGTACAATATAAGTTTTTGCTGGTTGGAGAATTTAGAAGGATCCTGCGGGGTAATGATTCCTCAGTTCTCATAAAGGTCACCTGACCAGTTCGATCAAGAACACCAGATTGCCTCCGTGCATGCAGCCACTCCTTTTTGACGTAATGGAAATAAGCATGAAATCCAAGGGTACGACCTTCATATCTTCTGAATTGTGATTTAAAACTAGTATATGTTTTAGCGGCTTCGAAAATTCATTCCCCTATTAATGGTGTAAAAAGGTAATCATCAATAAGAACATCTTGCTGCGATCATGTGAGAAAGTTGCCGGTGAGATTTATTTTAGACTATAATATTGCTCAATACAGTAAAAAACTCAGCGAATTTTAATTACTTTCAAAAGATTATGGGACAAAATGTGCACCTTGTGCACTTATTCCAATGCTGGAGACTTTTACAATTAACTTTCAACCGATATGCTGTAAGCTGGGGGCATATCTTAGATTTTTGACCCCATGATATAAGTACAGCGAAAAATTCTGCACAGATATAATTCCGGCAAAGCTAGACATTAACAGTAAACCCTTTACCCTACACCATAGCATCAAAGTTTAAATAAGTCTTGACCGCGACAGAAAAATTTTAAACTCTCTGTAGCCATATCATGTGTCGCAGCTAGTTCCCTGGTTAATTTTTTAAAACATATGGAGGCAAGTTCTTGAAAAATTAGGATTTTCTGTATATACCACAAATTGTGGTAAATAAATGACACGTTCTGTAAGAACTGAAGGGTAAACATGTTTACTGAACTTTGCTATGTAGAAATCGATTTAGATTGTTTGCGCCTAAAATGCGTTAGACAACTTTGATGGCCGATGAAAATCCAGATTATTCATCATTGGTACTTAAACAGTTGTTACATAATTTTCAGAATGGATGCCTAGCTGTTGCATAAAGAGGAAACCATCATGGCTTGGGTAGTGTAAATTTCTCGTGATTATAAACTAGAGTCACCCTAAAAATCCGAAAATCCCTTCAAAGACCAGCCCGATGACCGGTCATGGGGGTCTAGTCTGCAATTATTAAATTAGTTCTTTGAAATCAGCAAGGTGATACACAGGAGATCGATGACAGATGCATCTTTTGTAAATATCTATTTTTAAAGGACCACCCCATATTGAGGGCAAGTTCAAAAGACAGGTACGGGGTTGCACTACCAGACTAGGCTTCCACTGAATCAAATATATTACCGCTTACAGCTTAAAATAGCGATCCTGACGAGATGAAGACCATGACTGACTGACAAGTGACAAATAGGGGGAATAAAGGGGAATACTAGACCTCACCCCCACACAAGTGCAGACACAAATTACAGCCCACTGACACCGGGGCTTCCTCGTACATTTCCATTTTCGGGCATGAAAAAGCGGACAAATCCAGTTACTATTCATTTGACTTTTAAAGTTGAAATTAATTTGACTTTTAAAATGAAGCAGGTCACCAGTCTCATTGATTGATTAGCGTTGTACTTCTTCTTCTTCTTCACCCCTCACGCCTATTGTCTTCAGTAATGGACAGTAATTGTGCCGTCAAAAGTTGTCAATTGTAAACAATAATACTGTGTTTTTGACCCATTAAATGAACTGAGGTCTGACTTTTTTTTCTGCAAGGCCTGAAGATCTTCTATTAATATTTACAAAAGGCTTTGGCGAGGAAACATGATCATTTTGATTATGAGAAAGTAGATGGATTCCGGCCCAAATCATACTTTAGAAACTGCGTCTAAATGAAATAATTAATAATCCTACTAAGTACTAAGATCACTTTCGGGTACTAATGATATCTTAACAATCGGAAGGTATTTTGCGTCTTTTTTGGATGAATCACGGGAGAGGAATATGAAAAATACGGCGCCTCAAATGATTAGTCATAAGGCCCCAATAAAATGTATTGAAATTAGTATAACGGTCATGACTCATGAAATAATAATTGTATATCATCTTAATGAAAAGGGATAACATTTTTTGACGGTGAGATCACTTTTGTTCAACGGTGTTTCCGGTATAGAATTATAGACATTACACGCACGAAATATCTTGTTAAAATTCCAACCTACAAATTCTGGAGGCACTGTAAGCACTACCAACGAAATACTTTCTTGCTGAAAGATTGTAAATACGAGACCAGATGTTCTCACAACCATATTGATGATAGATAACATAGAATGAGTGCTCGCTACTGAGCAATGGATTTGAAATTATTCATAATTAAACTAGAACACTGTGCACAGTATTGAGTTCGTACCACTTTTCGAAATTGACCCCCACTAATTTCTAAATTCCTGTAACTTGTAGTCAACATAATTTCACATGTCACCTTTAACAGAATTCTGTCATTCTTTGGCGAAAACTTTTAATTAAAGTCAACATAATTTCACACGGCATTCCTTCCCGACACGAGCCATGAAACACAGCTCACTAATTGAGGGTTTTAACTGTACCCTAACTGTCGACTGAACAGCAGGAACGCCCGCTCGACCAGGCTTTTAACCTCGCAGTAGCCGGGTAAGTGTCAGAAGACATCTGTAGTTGGACATTCTAGGGTTCTAGCTCGGAGTTTAACTTACGGTCACTTTCTTTCCAGGAAAAAACGTACCCAGTACGTGCTGAAAACTGGGGAAATTCTTGGACAAACGACCTGTCTGACCATCAATACTAAGTAAGTGAGAAATGGAGCAGATGTAGAAACTGTGGCCTGGTTTGGTGTTTACAGGGTGAAAAGTGGGCGCTCTTAAGTTCATAACCCTCCAGTCAATCAGACACCATTCACGATGAAACATTCCAGTGGAACTTCAAGTTCACGCAATATACTGTAGAACTAGAATTTCCTGGAACTGGATTCCAGGGGCCTCTTTTAGATATTAACAGCCTGAACCCTTGCATGTTGTAGTTTTTACGTTAAATCCTGACTCCACCCTCTATTAAAGTATTAACATTCGGTATCTTCACAGAACACAATACTGACACTAGTAAACATTTTGCCGCTTGACAATCGAATTAGTCCAAGGAACTCTCCCGTAACAATCAACGGTATCCCGAGGTTCTTTTGATCAAAGGTGGGCTGATTAGCATTTTCATGGGAAGGAGTAGAGGCAAGAATTCGGGTCTGGAGACAGACAGGAGTTTCTACTGCATGCAGTTATTTCGACATGTACATTAATATGCAAACCTTACCTTAAATACCATATATCCGATATTGATTGATCAGCTATTTACTATTAGCCAGATCAACCCGGTGCAGGGTGCATTGATGCAGCTTAGACGGAATCGGCCCATGTAATGTTTGACCTCCACGGTGAAAACACGAATATTCATATTCAAGAACGAAATACATAGAAACACTATGCATACTTCTGTTTCCTTTGATTTTATTGCCTTAAAATGATTCAGTTAAAAGCTTGCTTCTCGGCTCCTCACGACTCCCTGCCCTCAACCCCTCTGGCCTCTTTCTCCGCTCTACAAACAAATCTTGACAAAAATAACAGCCGCCAGAGAAAGCTAGCTCTACTGACCGAGGTAGCTGAGATATAACTCATATACGTCAGATCTGATGACAAAATGATACCTCCATTTAAAAGCAGCAATACGAACCCTTGCACTTTCGAAAGATTGAAGGCACTTGAGATTTTCATAACTGACAAGATTTTCGGGAACAACAGGAAGTACATCTCTCAAATACATGCAAAGTAAATCCATGATCAAAGAGAAAATTCACAACTCACAGAGTTCTCACTGAGATGTCTACGTCCGGAAACTCCGTCAACCCAGCGTCGGTACAATTGACAGATCTGACTTTCTCGTGACTGTCAAAATCACATTTGCAGTGCAGTGGGTATTTCGAACCACAAGGTGCACCTTCTGTTGTTTTCAAAACCAGAAAAATTAGAGACCAAAGCAACAACATGATCAACAAAATTGAATGATCAGCTGAGGTAGAAACGTATTGCAAATGAAGGTTATGAAGGTGTCGAGTTGCAAGCAGTGAGAGGGAGAGCTGAGTTGACCACGTGACTGCTGTCTTGAGATCACGTGGTCCCTGTCTGGCGGTCACGTGCGAAGAGAAGCTGTTGAGTAAGGGTCACGTGACGTCATATGACAGTTGGTGAGTAACGCAGCTCCCCCAGCTGACCTCCCCGACCACCAACGCGATACACAGAGTCCCGGGATACACAAACAGATCATCGACCACCGAGTGCGGTGTGGGGAGGAGGTCCACAGTGCGATCATCTGTACATCCTGGTGCGGGCCAGTTTACCCTGTTAGTGTGCCGGGGGAGACACTGTGTCTATATGGCAGTAAGGTTTCCTTACCCCCTCTCTCTTGTTTAACTTTTCTCAGCACCCAGCACCAACCTTGAGAATACCGGAGCGATGATAGCACAACCTCGCATCATCCTAAATATAAAGCGTCTATTGACTCATCAGAGGGGGCGTTTAACAGGTCATCTAATGGTTTAGAGGGACTCGGTAGGATCACATTCTTGGCACGTCTAACAAAGTGACGTTTTGGCGCCATTTTACCAAATTAACTGAAGTGCTAGAGTTTGCATTAGTGAAGCAATCGAACTGTTAGTGTTAACCAAACGCATCTCAATTATTTGGGGAAAACTAGTGTTGAACTTGAAAAGTAGACCTAGACGGCCGGGGTGCGTCATTCTTTCTGAACTAGATTTCCGACAAAATCGGATAAGCACCCCCCCAAAATAGCTAGTGGCCGTATGATAGCTGAGTGGCAATTGTCCGACATGTAGGGGAGTGTTGGAGGATAGGGCTTCCTACTACCGGTCTCACAAAACGGAGACTCCGTTCTTCTGAGTCACACAACACTAAACGGCTTTTACGTTAGTCCGACTAAAAACGTTCAATAAACACAGTGAAGCACTGATCAGGGGGAACTGTGTAAGGAGGGTACATGATCAGCAGTTAGTGCGGAGGACAGGGATAGTTTGGGGAGGACAGGGATAGTTTTAGTCACGACTCGCTGTCCCCGTTATCAGATCTGAGTTTGTTTCTGGAGTTTCAGCACGTAGTATATTTACATGACAGTTTTTGGGAGTTCCAAATAATTTCTGATTATTCTGATTTCTTGCGACAAATGATACTGCACTGTTAGGATAAACGACGTTTCAAAGTAATAACTTCGTATTCATGCTGAAAAAATTGGTAAATATGTGAGAAAACTGTCTCATAAAATTTATTAATCAAAAATATTTACATAATATTTACATGATGTGATGGCTATTTTTTTGACATAGATAACATTGTGCCAGCTATTTTTCGATCTGTGAACGTCAACAGATTTCAATAAAAATACCATTAACGAAACTATACCAATAAGTAAATCTATTTCTATCTAAAATCTACTTCTATCCATTCGTGATTGAGAGATACCATGATGATTGATCACAGACAGCAATAATACAACTATTTTTGTTTTTTTCTGGGACTGAGAGGTCCCATATGATGCAGGAGACGTCTAGGTGTGAACCACTCAATCGGATTTTTGGCAAATAAGGGCAGATTACCGAGTTGCTGCAATATATTACCTGTACTTCTAGTCGAGCAATCTTGGCAGTTGTCCCGTGAAAGGACAATGCCTTTTGAAATCAATATAGTATACTAGGTAGATGTCATAAGACGTTATGGCAAACGTCAAGTAACCCTTCTTGAGTATCAGAAATGGTGGTACGGAAATTATCAGAGATTCAAGAGAACTCCAAATTGAAAATAATGGGGACTCAAAATACTGAGAACTCAAAGAGGGCGATATTGACTTGAAAATCAAACAGCTGTTATAGCTATATAATGGCAATGTGTTACAGCTATATAATGGCAATGTGTTACAGCTATATATAATGGCAATGTGTTACAGCTATATAATGGCAATGCTGATATTGACTTGAAAATCAAACAGCTGTTACAGCTATTATATAAAGGCAATGCTGCTAACAGCTGTTACAGCTATATAATGGTTATGCTGCTACCTCTGCCTGGAAAACTATAGATCGTTAAAACTAAAAGTATAAGTCCAATGAACATGAGATCGGAGTTTATTTCGAAATTTTGCCGAGATTTAGGTATCATTGAAGACGTTCAGAGGAACCAATGATCCCAATCCTTTGGTAATGGTATCGATATCTCCATTGTTGGCATCTGTAGCAGAGTAATTGGTACAGTTCAATGGATCCAATAGCCTTTTCTAAAAGCTTCTTTTTTCTGGAATAAGAAGAGTGGCGTTTCAGTTAGAGGTATTAATACGTTAATTTTCTTCAGGACTGGCAATGCAGTGTCTGCGTGAACTAAACCGGCATAATTGAGTTCTCAAGTATGTGCTTGACAGTTTGAGTTACAAGCCTTCTAAATATCACAATTCTATTGCATATGTCGCGACGTCTTAATCAAATAAGCTGCAATAAAAATTAACCAAATAAAAATGAGTCTGAGTTCATACTTCAGTAAACATAGTTACAATAACCTTGATATTAACTCAGTAATATAAAGTTTTGCAGGTAAGTTTCCTTATAATAAATTAAAGGGACACCCGGTGATGATTGACGCGTCTCGCGGGGAGTAAGGCGTTGGTGAAGTATCCAGACGGTCGTTATAATGAGGCGCTTCGATGCTCTTTTGACACTTTTAACAGCTGCTATTTTCGTATTATTGAAAAAATCAGCAAGCCGCTGAACATCGGCAGCTATTCGGGGTCCCATATAGCACAAATTCCACGAATCGTGATAGATTTTACAACACGATATTTTAAACTCAGGAATTCAACATGTCTATAATAATAATAATGTAATGTTTCCCCACTTCATGTCATAAATTTGAGAATTCTCAGGAGGAGGCCATCATATTAATTATTATATCAGATGATTAATTTTAATTAATATAACAGATGAAATACTAATTCCACGCTTATCATGTAACAGTACCCACGTGACACGTAACAGTGCACACGTGACACTGTAACAGTACCCACGTAACACTATAACAGTGCCAACGTGACACATAACAGCGCTCACGTGACATTGTAACAGTGCCCACGTGACACGTAACAGTGCCCACGTGACACGTAACAGCGCTCACGTGACACGTTGCCCACGTGACAACAGCGTTCGCGTTTTAACCTAGTAATACCACGTGGACTTGCTCACTTAGTCACGAGCAGAACATGCACTGTTCACTAATTTAAGTGCCACTGTGCAAAAAAACATATCAAGTATCTGTATATTTATATTATTATTATATTCTTATTATTATTATTATTATTTATATTCAGTAGAGTATTAAGAAAATTACAGACTCGGAGGGATCAGGGGCTGTTTCGGCAATTTTAGATTTCAGATCTTTAACTCAATTTTAACATGGTTTTACGGCACCCGAATATGGCAATTTTGGGTTTTTACCCAATTTCGTATAACAGTGCTGTATTTTGTAGTATGGTGAGTGTAAATGTAATGGCGACGGTCGTGCTTGCCAGCAGACTCGGAGGGAGGTATTCTGTCAATCGTTGTGAATACTCGACACACCCATTACGTTTTTTCCCTTCTAATAATGCTTATGAAGTATGGTTGACTAAAATATTGGACATTTCTCTTTGAATTTTTCGGCAGGATGGAATCGGGGGAAAATGATAAAACAAACCGAACTATAAGTATATAAATATGGTTATATTTATATTGTCGACAAATTAATCACGTTAACACGTTATCCTGAGGAACTGCAGTTGGCATATTTTCAATATGGAGGCAGAGGTCCTATACGAATACCCAACATGAACAGTGGAAATTCTTGGATAATAATCCTAACTCGAATGACACGCAGTGTGAGCGGAAATGCCTAAGTTAAAATATTCTATCGGAATTTTCGACGTACTGCAAATTGTCATGATTTGTTTGCATAATTTTCAAAAAGGCGGAATTTTCGATTACCGTATTATATATACATAATCTATTATATGACGGTATATTCATATCAACATGGTTCACTTATATTTATGCTAGTACGGAATCCGCCCTTTTTCCGGCGCCTTTTCACTAAAACGTTTACATTCATTGTGTTTATACAACATGTTGTATAAACAAAATTAACAGAAAAGATGATATTTAAATGGCCTAAAATCATTTCAATCCCCATCTTGTTTCAATTGTGTGTCCTGTAAGTGTAATGATGATAGAAAGTGGTGGTTGATTTCAATTAAAATATAAATTTCAGTTGATAAATACTCATTATATTTTATTTTGTTAGTTATTTAGAATATATATTCGCATGTATCCACAGTATATTTACATTACACGTTCAACGTGATATCATTATCAGTGCAGTGTGTACAACACCAACTACACCGATCAATTGCCAATCTGCGAAACATTTAATTATTATTATCACTTCGAGATGGCCAGGCCTACTCTCATGCTGTCTATATGTGATGATTAATTCTGAAAAACTAGGGACAACTGGGGAATGATCCCAGAACTGGGATCATTCCCCAGTTGTCCCTAGTGATAATTTATTTTGTTACATTACTTAAAAAGTTTGAAATTTAATATTATGTAGAAGAACTACGAAGATTTCATCCGAATTGTGGTGTTTTACTGCCTATCCAATTTATTTCAATATTATGTAATATAAATCCAAGGAAATAATCTTTAGCAAGGTATAACTATAAAACGAACCTGTCTATGAGAATTTAAAATAAATTTAAATATGACTTAATTAAATTTTAAATCAAATGTGAAAGTTACCCAAGTTTGTAACAGTTAGAAGCCTCCACTCAAATCTCAGAATCAATGTCACGTTTGAAAATAGACTTAAACCGCCTCTCCATCCAACTTGGCTTCACTTCTCACCAGTCGAAATCATTGCTGCGTGATTTCTAGTCATGGTCTAACATAAGAGCCGAGCTTTTTTTAAATCGTAAGTCGTAACTAATGTCTGTTATATAAATTTGAATCATAATCCGGATCCCCCCCTATCGAAAACAATTATAGACAAATTAAACTGTATCGTCAGCATTGCGTAACCACTCAAATTTTAGCATCACTTTTGTGCTTGACAGAAAAAAGTTGACCCGTTTAATAAAGAGTGTTTATGAAGTTGAACTGTTTTAAGGATTCCACTTATGAAATATACAGGAAGTAGTGCTCTCACGGCTTTCGACACCTTATTTGCTAACAAGCTAAAAAATTGACACTTATTCAGA